CAAGCACTCGCTACCTCTTCTTCGTCCATATTCTTGTTAACTCGTTCCTGCTCCTCCCAAGGCACATCCTAATCCACAATAAGAATCCAAGATCAGTACACATTTTACATAACGGTTTGAGATGTATCTTTTATAACCAATGATAGTATTAGAAAAGGTATTTACACATTAAATTAAAAAAAAAAGAAAGAAAGAGAGTAGATTTATGCAAGAAAGTTCTTTGTAGACATCTACAAAAAATAAATGGCTTATTTAGGTGAATATATAAAAGTGGGATGGTAATTGCAGAAGCATGTCACAGTAATAATTATTTGCAAAACCGAGTAGCGGAGCAGGATAAAATGATGAAATTATCGTTGGAGCTAAATGATAGACCTGCGGACAGCATGGAGCAAATATATTTAATAATTTGGATATGAATTATGTCGAAAGGTAAAGCTTGTAAATATATGTCTCTCACCGAAAAAAATGGAGAAAAGCTAGAGAACATGTGAGAAAGTGAATTATTTTAACAATTCGTTAAGTTTTTTTTTTCATGTTTTTAGCGTGCAGGTTTGAGAGTGAAAGATGAAGCTTCCTTTCATGATGATCCTTAGAGTAGATCTGGTTTGATATTAGATTTGGATGACATTTTGAGGCTTTAAGCTTAAAATTGAGTGCAACATGTAAAATCTATGAGTATTAAGCATAAATATTAAGAAAAACGCAAAGGAAACTCATGAAAATCAATGAAACAAAGGTAGGGTTGCTCTGAAATTTTGTTTCTTAAACTCAACAACATATTTGGGAAGAAGATGGAAGAAGATGATGAAAAATACAACTCTGTCACTAAGTAGAAAAAACAAAAAAATAATGTCCAAAAACGCAAGCCTAATGTATGTCTTAGCCGGATATTAAAAATGTAATCTGGATACAATAATTCTAAATCCCGATGAGTTAAATCTAGATGAAGAATATAACCGGATAAGTTACACTGTAACCAGATATATTTATATCATTTGATTATTTTCTAACAAGATATTCAGATATATGTAGTATTAACCGATCCTAAAATATCACAACACTACATATATTAAAAAACAATATTTCGGTTCACCTTCCACGATATATTTCTCCACAATAACTATCATATAGCATCAGATCTCTACCAAACTATGATTTCATTCCAGATTTTCATGAATTGAAAATTGTAAATGTGTTTCTTCCTGAATTAAAAGTTTTAAACTTAGTTATCCCTATATCATGGTTTAAACTGGTTTAATAGGAACCAAAAAAATTAAACCGGTTAAACCAAATAAAAATACAGTTTCTTAATAATAAATCTAATTGTTATAAAAGATAAATAAAATTTGTTACTTGGCAGGATAAAATTATATAATTTGATAAAAAGTTGACCTTATTTGAAATTTGATTCCAGATTTAACTACTATGTAACCTAAAGAGCAATCTACTAAGTAGGGTGCTGAACGGTTGATCGCAACAAAACATGAGAAATATGATGGCCTGAGAAAGCATGTTGAATAATTAATAATGTAGAATATATAATGTTTCAGATTCTGAGAATATAGCTAACAAATTAATATGCAACTTCGTGTTCTTAGTGTGCCTAGTTTATTCATTCAACATTTGCTTAAAATCTCGAGTCTAGCCTGCACTTCAAACACAGATCATTCTGAAGACCAATAGATAATAAAAGGAAAAACTCAACAACATGAAGAAAATACTTTGTTTATTGATGGTCTCGTACTTATAGCAACACTCTTTCGTACTTGTAGTAGGTACGTGAGAGGTGATCTCTCGGAAGTTTTAGCCGTTGGCAACAATCTCGTGAATGGCCTCAGCGACAGAGACATCCTCTGCTCTAACCGCTAGAAAACATTGTAGCCATCAAATTATTTTAACTAATAAAAGGAAAAGAAAGAGTGCAAACAACATCATTTAATTAGGACCGACCGTTTTGGACACGAGTCTCTGACTTAGCTGAATCAGAATCAATATTAACCGGATATCTATCGATGCAATGTTCCCAAGGACTATTTGTGGAAGCCTTGACATTGCTTAGAGCCATCCAAACTGCACTGTTACACTTAAACCCTGATCCTAGAGCAATCTGCCAAACTTTATTACCTTTCTTCATCCTTCCTTTTGCTTCTATGTATGCTAATTCATACCATATTGAGCTAGAAGAAGTGTTACCAAATCTATGCAACGTTGATCTTGATGCCTCCACATCGATCGGTGCTAGGCCTAGATTCTTCTCTAGCACATCGATCACTGCTCTGCCTCCAGCATGTATACAAAAATGATCAATAGCAAGCTTGAAATCCGGGACGTAGTAATGCTTAACTTTATCTTTGAAAAGTTTCTTGGCCATAAAGGTAACGAAAAAAAGAAGTTTCTCGCTTAAAGGAAGAATCAACGGACCCAACGTTGCTATGTTCTTCTTAACCGTTCTTCCAGCAACATCGGTTATATCCTTGGACAAACTCACTCCGGTTTTACCGCTCTCATCGTCTCCTTGTTGCACGCAACGAAAAGACTTGTCATCAGCTCCGGTATGGGTTCGAACCGTGTGAACTAGCTCGTACTTGGACCGTCTACGATCTCTAGGCTTGTTGGAGAGCAAAATCGCGGCCCCACCAACACGGAACAAGCAGTTTGAAACCATCATGGATCTATTATCACCAGCATAAATGTTATACGTGATATTCTCTGTACTCACCACAAGAGCATACGTGTTTTTATGGACATGCAACAAGTCCTTAGCCAAGTCAATAGCTATAACACCAGCACTACAACCCATGCCACCGAGATTAAAGCTTCTCACATTGCTTCTGAGCTTGAAAGTATTTACGACCATCGCTGAGAGGGAAGGAGTCGGATTAAACATGCTTGAATTCACCACAAGTATACCTATATCTTTAGGGTTAACTTTGGTGTTCTTGAATAGATTTTCCAGCGCACCGATGATTACTTTCTCCGTCTCTTCACGCGCCGCCGCAAAAGTCTTCCGGGGAGGGACCTGAAGCAGTCCCTCGGGTCCGTGTGTTTCATCTCCTAGACCGGAACGTTCTTGAATCTTCCTCAAGAATTCAAGCCACGATGAATCATCGCACGTCCCGTTACGAGGAGGATCAGCTTTTCTTACTTCATAAAATATATCCATGACCTTGGAGATACTTGATCTACAATGCGTTGGTGGAAGGTAGCATGAGTACTCAACGAGGTAAACCGGTTTGGGCCGGGTTACGATGTAGAGAACCGAACCGAAAACGGTGAAGGCAAAGAGTGGAGCTATGGTTATGAGGTTGTGTTGGAGATAGGAATAGTATAAGTTGTGAAGATCGTCTATGGTGAGCCGATAGGCTTTTCCGGCGACGATCGCCGTTAACGGGAAGAAGCAAAGGTTGAAAAAGTTGGTTATGACGTAATGGTAAAGGAGCTTTGCGTTAACGGACGTCATCGCTCAGTGTGTGTGTCGGAGAATAGTGTAGGAAGTGATGAGATGTATTTGTATGGATCCTCTTTTGTGGTCCGTTACACTTTACATGCATTTTTAAAGACATGTGTATACTCATGCTCATGCATGCATACACATTGAAATAAATCAGTAGTCCGATGAAAGGTGCCAAAAAATAGGAAAGTATTGTGATGAAAAAGTAAAAAAAAAACATATTATACACTAGATGTATTTCGATAAAAGTAATGCTTTTCACATTAAAAAACAAAAAAAAACTATAGAAATATTGTATCTTAACGTCATAAATTCATTGTCTATTTTTTTGTCAAAAAAAAATCCTTGTTTATAATCTCTAGATTTCGGTCTCTAATTAGATCTTCTTGACCAAATTTTTCTTATTAGTTTATACTTTTAAATTGTGCTGGAAAAATAAATAGGCCTAAATATGACACATGTGTACTAAATTTAAGAGAATTTATGTACATAGCAATGATAGGCTAAACCGACATGGACTCTGACTAATTATAGGATCAGTGTTTCTCGGGAATGAGTATTTCCTCAAGTTTATACCTGAATATCAGTAAACAAATGTGTAGAATGTCTGGATAAGATCACTGGAATAAGTTTAATTCTTAAGAATGTTATTTTACAATCAGATCCTAAAAGACTTGTTAATTGTGTCAAAGAGCCCGGTTTATTCCAAGAAGTTAATCTATACTATTATTTAAGAAGTAAATTTGCTTAGACATTGTTTATTGTTAAAAGTTTTTTAAAGATCTCTTAAGTGGACCATAATGAAATAAATTAAATGGACTAGAGAGAAAAAAACAGAAAGAGAGAGAGATAGAAACAAAAGATGAAAAAGCAAGGGAGAGAGATAGAAGGAACGTTCCTTCTAGACCTTAATTAAGGTACATCCCTTCACTTTTTTCCTTTTTTCCTTTTTTTTTAATTATAAAACTAGATTTTGACTCGCGCTTGAAAATCACGAAAATTTTTTATAATTAAAAATTATATAATTAGGATTTGTTTTTATTTAAAGTATGTTTGGTATAAAATCAGTAATCAAAATTTTATGGTTACGAAGATCTGATTACGCAATGCGTAGGTAGGATTCTCACCGCGGCTGAGAAGATCGGTGGACCTGTTCTCGACGTGACGAAGATCGTCGCCGAAGCGTTCGCTGCGCAGAAGGATCTGCTTGTTCGCATCAAGCAAACTCAGGTAAACGGGAATAGATGATCCTCTTCTATACTAAGCTGTAATCGATTCTTTGGATTTGATTTTGATTTTGANCGCAATGCGTAGGTAGGATTCTCACCGCGGCTGAGAAGATCGGTGGACCTGTTCTCGACGTGACGAAGATCGTCGCCGAAGCGTTCGCTGCGCAGAAGGATCTGCTTGTTCGCATCAAGCAAACTCAGGTAAACGGGAATAGATGATCCTCTTCTATACTAAGCTGTAATCGATTCTTTGGATTTGATTTTGATTTTGATTTTGATTTTGATTTTGATTTTGATTTTGATTTTGATTTGAGCAGAAGCCTGATATGGCTGGATTGGCTGGATTTCTCAAGCCGTTGAACGATGTGACGATGAAAGCTGATGTGATGACTCAAGGAAAGAGGAATGATTACTTTAATCACCTTAAGGCTGCTTCTGATAGTTTATCTGCATTGGCTTGGATTGCTTTCACTGGGAAAGATTGTGGTGAGCAGAGACATTGTGTTGGATTTTAATATTTTCTGGTGATAGTTAACTGTGAATGATTGTGATTTGATTTTACTTTTTCCTTGTAAAGGTATGAGTATGCCAATAGCTCATGTGGAAGAAAGTTGGCAGATGGCTGAGTTTTACAGCAATAAGGTTGATATGCCAAAATCTTCAATCTCTTTCTATGCTTTTATATGTTTAAATATTTTTGGAAAACAATTGCTTATTCAGTTTGTATAAGCTTGAATTTCTGTTTGATGCTCCTTGTATATTATGTGTTCTTCTTCAGGTTTTGGTGGAATACCGTAACAAAGACGCTAATCATGTGGAATGGGCTAAAGCCTTGAAAGAGCTTTACTTACCTGGTTTAAGGGATTATGTTAAAAGTCATTACGCCTTGGGACCTGTATGGAATGCATCAGGGAAGCCTGTTAGTGCTCCTGCAAAGGGTCCACCTGGTGCTCCTGCTCCTCCCCGAGCACCGCTCTTCAGTTCTGAATCTTTAAAGCCATCATCATCGTCGAACCAGAAGCAAGGGATGTCTGCTGTTTTCCAGCAGCTCAGCTCAGGTTCTGTCACCTCAGGTACGTTTGAATTTGCGTCTGTCTTCATATTTCTGCAACTTTGGAATGTGAATCACAAGTAGCTTATTATTCCTTCTTTGATTTTGCAGGTCTTAAAAAGGTGACGGATGATATGAAAACAAAGAACCGTGCTGATAGATCCGGAGCAGTGAGTGCCATTGAGAAGGAAACTCGTTCCACTAAACCAGCCGTTTCGAAAACTGGACCACCGAAAATGGAACTTCAAATGGGTCGCAAGTGGGTTTTTACTAACAAATAATTAACTATATGGTGCAAATTCAAACTATGGTATAAATTGGCTTCTACTGAATTATTAGGTGGGCTGTTGAGAACCAAATTGGGAGGAAGGACTTGGTTATCAGCGAGTGTGATTCCAAACAGTCTGTGTATGTATTTGGTTGCAAAGATTCTGTCTTGCAGATACAAGGTAACTTTGCGTCATTTCAGTTTCACCGTAAAAGCTGTATATCTGCTAAAAAAATTGTTTGATTACTTTACCATTGTTCCATAATCTGTAGGCAAAGTCAATAACATAACCATTGACAAATGCACCAAAATGGGTGTTGTCTTCACGGTGAGTGGAAGAATACTGTTTCCTCTTGCATTCTTACTGTATATAGTTATGTGATTTCTAGTATTGTAAAAATCTAATTTGTCTGTGTAGGATGTTGTTGCTGCATTTGAGATTGTGAATTGCAGCAACGTGGAAGTACAATGTCAGGTATGTTTTCTATCACAATGGCCAAAAACATATGTTGTAGTTATAACTTCTGCACTTTTTCCGTGAACACTGATGCTCTTGCTGTGTCTATACTTCATCTATGACTTATAGGGTTCAGCTCCCACAGTCTCTGTGGACAACACAACTGGCTGTCAGTTATATCTAAACAAAGACTCGTTGCAGACAGCGATAACAACAGCTAAGTCGAGTGAGATCAATGTAATGGTCCCTGGTGCTTCTCCTGATGGAGATTGGGTATGTCTTTCCTCTCTTTGTAACCATGAAAATGTGTTTATTTCATTGTATTCCTGCGATTTATACATGAAGCAAAGGAATATGTCAAGAGTCTAGTTACTGTGTGGGATACCAAAATTAATAAGTTGTTGGTTACAAGTTTCTTGTAACCAGGCAAATTGTGTGTATGTCTTGAGTGAAATGACACTGTTATACAATAATGTAGGTGGAACATGCACTGCCTCAACAGTACAACCATTTGTTCACTGAAGGGAAGTTCGAGACAACACCGGTCTCTCACTCAGGTGCCTAAGTAAAGAGGAATCTCTGTTCAGTTTGGGGTTTTTGCTTAAATATGAGGTCTTCTTTTCAACTTGGTTTCTTCTGATTGTAATAGAGAATAATCTATTTGTTTTTTTCTTTTTTGGTTCTGTCTCTATCCACCAATTTTTTGGGATTGGATGTTCTTTTGTTTTGTTTGTTGTGATCTTGATCATCTCGTCTTTTGTTCGTCTTTGGGGCTGGGGCTTTGGATTTGATTTGATTTATTTTTGTGGGCGCTCATACTTTTTCTGAGCTATTGCTGATGAAAATGTGAACAATTATCATGGATAGAAAAAGTTGTTCCTAGCAAGCTCTTATATGATATTATTTAACTTTTTTGGTTTTGTTTTGCAAATCATGCGACCGTTGTAGTTAGAAATATAGAGGAAAACTATATCAATTTTTTGGGATAAAGAAATGCTACTAATGGAAGATGTTAGTCAACATAACAGTAGTATGTAATTGAGCTGCAAATTATGAAATCACCGGAACCGATATCACAAAGAAGTAACGGTAAAGGAACAAATGGCCAAGGACCCACGTCGTTTCCGCATTGTAAATGAGGTCCACTGTTTTTTTTTTAACTTAAATTAAACCCAAATCTACTAAAAGGCGTAGACCTAATCTCAGGTAGAGATATAACCCATAGATAAATTCTCTCATCGGCATTTAAATGGATCGAAAACAATAATCCATATCCGCGTGACCATATATGAAACTAATAACTTCACCTTTGAAGTGAATCGATCTTTGACTTGGGACGGTAATTCCTCGCCTAAAGGAAATCACTAGACCACCACGATGTGGTTGGTCCACTGTTATTATCCCAAGTAGGAGCAGTCAATTGTTGTCTTTCTATCAGATCAGAGACATCAACAAAAATAACACGAATCATGTCTGAATGCTTCAACTCCTCATCTCCCCATCCGCCTTTCCCACGTAATACCCTAAAATCCACTTTTACTAGTTCTTTGAATGGTGACGGAAAAGAAATCCAACTCTAAATCGAGAATGTCTGTCTCCAAGCTCAAAGAACAATATGCCGTCGTTACAGAGACCGTTGATAATCTTCGTTATGGACTTATACAGAGGCACTTTCAGCTGCTCGATACCAATGGTTCCTTGCTTCTGTTTCTCACAAACTATCTATCATGGTTCATGATATCTTCCTTTAAGATCTGTTTTGCTTTCTCTGTGATTGTGAATCATGGCAGTGGCCAAGTACACGGCAGCGCAAAGACGTTCTCCGGTGAAACTCGGAGCAACGGATTTAATTTGTTGTCGTACTCTTCAAGGACTCACAGGAAAGGTGAGTGATAAGTTTAATCTTATCAAGTAAATGAGGAAGCTTGTAACTTTACCTTCATAGGTTCTTTCACTGGACTGGACNCTCTGTGATTGTGAATCATGGCAGTGGCCAAGTACACGGCAGCGCAAAGACGTTCTCCGGTGAAACTCGGAGCAACGGATTTAATTTGTTGTCGTACTCTTCAAGGACTCACAGGAAAGGTGAGTGATAAGTTTAATCTTATCAAGTAAATGAGGAAGCTTGTAACTTTACCTTCATAGGTTCTTTCACTGGACTGGACGCCAGAGAGTAACTGTATCGTCAGTGCATCTCAAGACGGTATATTAATCGAGTGGAACCCTCTAACGAGTCTGAAAACTCATGCAGTCAAACTCCCTTGTACATGGGTTATGACATGTGCCTTCTCTCCAAATGGTCAGACGGTTGCGTGTGGTGAATTGTTGGACAGTGTTTGTTATATCTTCAATCTTAGCTCGACCGCTGATAAGGACGGAACTGTGCCAGTTTCAAGAATGCGCAGTGGAAACAATGTTTACGTTTCATGCTGAGGATGCTCATTTGATTACCAGTTCAGGTGATCAAACATGTGTCAAGTGGAATGTTACTACCAGTATTAAAACTTATGTGTTTGGCGGCGAGTTTCAGTCTGGACATATTGCTGATGTACTAAGGTATTGATGTTACGTCCATGTGGGTTGCTTTATTGGAATCAGTTTGTTTGATACGGTTTCTAAAGTAGCATATCTTTGGCAAACCTAGTAACCGTCTTAGGCGTAGGTGTTCGGGTTCAAATTTTTTCGGTTTAGTTTCATAGGTCCAGTTTAAGTTCTGTATATGTCCCAGTCAGGTTTGGTTAATAATATTTTGATTACGGGTTTGATTTTATAACTTTGACTATAACCTATTTTCGATCCGAACTCATAAATAATATTTGCATTCTGAGTTTAGATGTTGGATCAAAGTATATATGAAATCGGAGGGTAATTAATATACCTATATAGATTTGTGGTAGGAAACTTAAGTTTTGGTCTAGTGGATGAGGAGTTTAGTTGATTTGTGTATAAAGTTAGTATGGATAAAGTATATTGGAATGCAGCTAAACTCATGGCCTTATACACCTACTGTGCTCCATTTACTCCAGTGTCTCAATCTGCGAATCAAACTCAACTGGATTCATGTGATACCACTGCACGCTTGTGGGACACTCGTGCTGCAAACAGAGCAGTGCAGACGTTACATGGGCACAAAGGAGATGTGAATACTGTCAAGTTCTTTCCGGATGGGTATAGATTAGGGACTGGATCAGGGATGAACATGCAGGTTTTATGACATTAGGACTGGTCATCAACTCCAGGTGTATCAGCCACAAGGTGATGGTGACGTACTTGTGACCTCCATCGCATTCTCTGCCTTGGGGAGGCTTCTTTTCGCTGGCTATGCTAATAACAACACCTGCTACATTTGGGATATTTTCATCAGAGCGGTAAAGCTTAATTAAATACTGAGTACTAAGTGGTGGGAGTTGTTTTAGCTTATTGTGATTGTGTGATTCTCTTGCAGGTTGTATTGGATTCGGGGGAACTTAAAGACTCACACATGAATCATAGAAGTTGTTTGGAGATGTTAGCAGATGGAAGTGCCTTGTGTACTGGAAGTTGGGATTCAAATCATAAGGTTAGTAGTGACCCTCTAATTAGCATATCAATTTATAATCTGAATGAGATAGAACTTAAATAGGAAATATTATTGGCTTTGTGTGTGTTTTATTGAATTACACAAATATAGGCGTTTGGAGAGCAAATGAGAGTGGTATGAAGAAACAAAAACTAAAGAATTGTCTCAGCTCATCTCTAGTTATTGTGGTTTTGGTTAATATATTTTGTAGTTGAGAAGATGTTTTGATTTTGATATAGTGGAGCTGTGTTAGAAGGATCAAATATTTTCGGGTCCACGATATATTTCTCCACAATAACTATCATATAGCATCAGATCTCTACCAAACTATGATTTCATTCCAGATTTTCATGAATTGAAAATTGTAAATGTGTTTCTTCCTGAATTAAAAGTTTTAAACTTAGTTATCCCTATATCATGGTTTAAACTGGTTTAATAGGAACCAAAAAAATTAAACCGGTTAAACCAAATAAAAATACAGTTTCTTAATAATAAATCTAATTGTTATAAAAGATAAATAAAATTTGTTACTTGGCAGGATAAAATTATATAATTTGATAAAAAGTTGACCTTATTTGAAATTTGATTCCAGATTTAACTACTATGTAACCTAAAGAGCAATCTACTAAGTAGGGTGCTGAACGGTTGATCGCAACAAAACATGAGAAATATGATGGCCTGAGAAAGCATGTTGAATAATTAATAATGTAGAATATATAATGTTTCAGATTCTGAGAATATAGCTAACAAATTAATATGCAACTTCGTGTTCTTAGTGTGCCTAGTTTATTCATTCAACATTTGCTTAAAATCTCGAGTCTAGCCTGCACTTCAAACACAGATCATTCTGAAGACCAATAGATAATAAAAGGAAAAACTCAACAACATGAAGAAAATACTTTGTTTATTGATGGTCTCGTACTTATAGCAACACTCTTTCGTACTTGTAGTAGGTACGTGAGAGGTGATCTCTCGGAAGTTTTAGCCGTTGGCAACAATCTCGTGAATGGCCTCAGCGACAGAGACATCCTCTGCTCTAACCGCTAGTTTCATTGCAATCTCCCTTGCACTGTCCATCCCAAACTGTGCCCTCACTAACACTTTCACGTTCCCTATGTACACACCTGACAGTAAGCAAGTGTGTGACCTTGCATTGCTCGGAACTGTCTCCGTCCCCTGCAGATTTTGTTTCTCCAAGTGTCAGTTTTCATGTTATCACACCAAACCGGGAACGACAGGAAGAAAAAGCAGTAAAAAGAGACTCACCTCACAAGGCTGCATGCCAAGAAGATCGATGACAGCCTTTATAGCTTCTCCCAAACTCTCTCTTTGGCCAAGGCCGTATTCGTCTACGTGCTCATCTTCTTCATTCATGCTTTCCCATGCATTCCTAAAGTTGGAGACACTCACTTTCACCATGTAATCTGCAGATACAACCTCAAGATCCTCCAGCTGGTACTCATCTTCCACCCCATCATCCTCTGCTTCCCCTGTGCTTGGGTCAACCTATGTTACAAACCCATTTGTAACGCACAAACAGATTAGTCATCTTATTATCCTTTTTACCTTACGATAAATAAATCACAAGAAGATGGAAATGAAAAGCAACATGTACCTCCTTAACAACAAAAGTCAATGTGTTGGAAAACTTTCCAAAAGCAGGGACACCTGCTGGCTTCTCAAAAGCAACAAAAGCTTGACCAGGCGAATCATAAGGAAGCGAGTTTAGTGCCTTTGAAGTTACTTCACTGAACTCCTCTGCTTCTGAAGCATCTACTATGACATTGACCTACAAAACAACTCATGCCATGAGGAAAGAAGCCATACAATATGCTTTCCACCAATGTTCTAGACAAATGATCAGTACCCTCTCCAACAACTGCTCTGGTATTGTGTTAGTGCAGTTGTACTGAAACACCACATGATTGTCAAATATATGCTTTACAACATTGACGGAGTATTCTGTTTCTGCCTCAGTTAGCTCCACAGGCGAAGAAGACTGAAAAAGAAAGTACAAGTTAAAGCAATCAAGGTAAGCTGGTGAAATTAGATTTAAACAAAAAAAAAGTTCACAGCCCTAACCTTGAAAAGTTTTCCAAAGGCGGCAAACTCTGGAATAGATGAGAGAAGTCTTTCATAGCCTTCAAAACCAGAAGCAGGTGCAGCTGGTGGCGCACCCAGACCAGTGGGCTTTTTACCTTGGGCCTTCTTCTCTGCAAGGGGCTGGGATTTTACTTCCTTAGGCACAGAGTTGATATCAAAAGCTTCTTCAGAGGGATCCTGCAGGATCAAAGATATAAGACAACTGATGTAATAAGCGCCTACGAAAACGAAAAATGATGATACTCACATAATTCTTCAGACTAGTTTCCATGTTGGCTAGAGGAACCTCCAGAGAACCAAATAGAAACTCCTTGCTATCTTTGTCGGTGTCAAGAGTACCATCACCACCAAGGACGCTCAAAAATAATGTTGCTCTATCACGTACCTTAAAATAAAAAGAGGTCGTAACCCATGATCAAATCAACTAACAATTTGCATCTATCTCCCCAGACAATATTGGTCAAGACAAACATGTGTGTGTAATGATGCAACAGGCTCAAGGGTACACAAATAGCAGACAGAAACAGAAACGCACAGATACTGCAACCAATTGAAGGCAGATTTTCTAGACTAACTAGGAACGCACCTCATCATCACTGTCATAGATGCAGCGCATCAACAGAACGGTAATCCTGGGCTGCCAAACATACAAATACAATCAGCCATGGAAGAAAAAATGAATATAAAAGTTAATAATAGAACTTTACATACCTTCAAGGATTCAACCATAAACCCAAACTTTGCAAGTGTCGAAACCGCAGCAGCTCGGACAGTGGCATTTTCCAGATGCACACGATTATAAATATATCGTATATACTTGCTTGGATCTGAGGTTTTGGGCCCTTCAATTCCCAGAAAATGAAGGATCTGTGCGACAAAACACATTTAAAAACAACATATGTAAAAGAACAACATATGGAAAAGAGTCTAGAACTCCACGACTACTCAGCCATAGCACAAGAAAACACAATGATCGATTAATTGTAACAAAAGAGGCAGGAAATTGCCGGATATAAAACGGATTTGAATTGTATTTGCAACACCAGGTGGATCATGGAGACGATAATCTACCTGTGTTGAAAGATATGTGAATTCACAATCTTCAATGAATTCACAAAGATGAAGCAATCCACTTTCCTTTGCATCAGGGATATCTCTGATAATGGTCACAATAGAATCTACTATTGCTCTTTTATACTCAAATCCACCTTCTTCCCTAAGAATGTTGCTTAAGAAGGTCATCCTGTAAATGATAAGGTGACACAAATTATTCATAAGCCACAATGCTATGAAATCACCACTCCATTTAAGGGTAGAGACCAAAAGTAAATATAACAGACCGTAGAACTTTACTTACAGGGATCTGTACTTGAGCGGAAATTTAACACACAACGATCTTATTGCTTCCACGACCACAATTTTGAACTCATCAGCAATATCTGACATAAACATAGTTATTTGCTTCATCAAGCGTTCTACACTTGATTCGTTCCCTGTTTTCAGGAGAGTGGTGATTGCGAGTGTAGCAATGCTTCTGTTCTGGTCAGAAATTAAACTCTCCATATCAATGTTGCAGTTGGTGACAGCCATAGGATGAGTCATTGAAACCTGTGAGTCAAACTTGCGTTTAGTGAACAGTGGAACATCTTTTTGTCCTTGATGGAAAGGATATGATGAAGTTATCTAGCAAAATATAAGATCCTTTCGGTGTGTTTCAATATACAAAGAAAAGAGTTGAAAAAGTTGTTTATAAAGATTTGGATCTAAGAAAGTAATGTAAACCTTGTTCAGAGTTCGGACAGCAGCAAATCTCAACACTGGTCTGGGGGAACTCAAAAAGAGCTGGAGAACAGTGATAGCTGGAGTCAATTCTCTGCTTGTCACACCATCAAGCTCAGTGATCGCCCTGGCAGCCTCAAGGATCACCATTTCTGCCTTATGGCGCAGACAACTCTCCAGAAATTCATAGAACGGACGTTCTCCAGACTGACCATGGTTGGCCATATCACGGATAACCTGAACAATAGAAACTAGAGCTACATAACACAATTACTTTGACCCACATGTCATATAATCAATAGGCGTAGAGAACTAACCTGACTGGTGTAGCGTATCAAAAGACACTGAGCCAGGGGAGAGCGAACAGATCCTCTGGTCAAGCTACCAACCAGCTTGCTAACAGCCAAGCGATCATTTTGGCGTATCTGAACATGATGATTGATCATAGTAACAAATCAATTGTCAAGATGCTTATTCCTAGTGGCGGTTTAATTGAACAAATAACAGAAACATAAACCAATTTACTTCGGGTAACATCAATACAGCAGACTTACTTGATGGAGCAAAGCAAGGGCATGAAACTGAACGAGTGCCGATCTAGATTGAATACCTTCTTGAACCTCATTGGTCCATCTCTTAACAATTTCCGGGTTTGTCTGTAAACAGCAATAAAAGAATATAAGCATAACCAAACAAATACGAAACAAGAAAACAATTTGGGTGTGTAGAAAGGTACCTTTAGCAAGTGAAGCCCACTGACTAAAGCAGCACTAGAAACAACGGGATTCTTATCCACGATAGCTTGCTTCAAGTATCGCTCAATCTGAGTGAGAAGGGTTCCCTCTATAATCCGGCAGAGGACACGGATAGCATTGGCACGATACATATCAGTCTTACTGTTCATGTCCTTCATAAGTGAGCTCGTTACAATAAAAACCTATAAGAGAAACACCAAACAACTCATAAGAAACATTACCTACAATAAAATTTTCATATTAAAAATTGAGTAAAGATGGCAAACCTCATCTGAAGATGGAGATAACTCCTTAATGATCAAGTAGACCATTCTCCTCAAGCCAGTGTCGTTTGACTGGAAAAGCTTTGTGACTGAGAAGAAAACTCCCGTAGCTTCAACCTGCATATGAAACCGGATAAAAGTTAGGAAACATGATATACGTGCTATGATATTAAAAGAAACTACACACATGAAGGTGAAACAGACCTTGGTGAAGGACTCTCCTTGGTTAAGCAAATAAAGAAGCTTGGTGATGACCTGAGAGCATCTTCGAGGATCAACCTGAGAGTCATTAAAGACTCTCGCTTCTTGAAGTACCGCTCCCTTCTCGATTCCCATGAATGGAGAATACTCCACTGATCCACCAACAACAACAACAACAAAAAAAAATTAAAAAACGGATCGAATGTGGTAACAGAACCACACTAAACACAATAGTCTCGCGTAATTGTAGATCTACACAACCAAATCAAGCGATATATCAAGAATCGCATAGATCTAACAGAATCTTCAAATCTGATCTAATTCGGAGATAAAATCAAAGAAGAACGGAGGACGTACACTCATCGTCGTGATCATCGTCTTTCTTAACGAAAGGTTGCGCCATTGCTGATCTACCGATTGAATACTACCCGGTCACTTCTCAGATCTCTCGCTACAGATGCGAAACAGTCGAAACGCAAATAGAGGAAGAAGGAGGAAGGATCTCGTATGTTTTTTTTTGAGTCTTAACACTGTGAGAGATCGAAAGAGAAGATAATCTTTTTTTATCGGCTAACTTTTCATTGTTAAGCCCAATGGGCTTTACATGATAGTATCGGTTACAACTTAATAGACTTAAAAGAGAATTTGAATTTATACAGTAAGGCCCCCGAAATGTGCAGAAGCGGCAATCTCGGCCACGGAACTTTTTTTCTTTTTTTAAGCTTTAAAAAGCATTAAAAATATATTTTTTTTTTGTAAATCTTATTGTAAAGATAGATTAATTTATTATTTAAATAATAATAATCATTATCTAACTAGTTTATTGGGATTTAAACATCTTTGTTTTAAAATAAGACTAGAATCCGAAAACTCATGTCCAACTTACAATAAAAATTTCAACAGATTTCATAATTTTTATATGTTATCTCTTTATTTTTTATTTTCTAAACGTTGATATTTCACAATTTATTTGATTATTCAAATACACATTATTTAAAAATTCAATATGGATCGACCCGGTCCAAAAACAAGTTTTAGATTAATATTTGAATTCTAAAAAAAATCTAAAATCGACATGAATAGATAGACTGCTGAACTGAATCACTATAAACGGAAAATCTGACAATGACAAAGCTGAAAAAGACGGTGAAACGGATAATCTGCCACCACTAAATCTACAACAACTACTCGTCGGAAACATTGGTACAAATACCTAACGAAGAGAGGAAAAACAGTCTATTTGTTTCTCCCAATGTTTAGTTTTTGCAAAGCAATATTGATTCTTTATAACAAACATGTGAATGTCGTATGTATTATGTATAATTGTCTTTTCACTTTTTGTTTGCATATGCTTTTTGTGGTCATTAAGCATGAGAAAAAAAAATCTTTGAATTAACAGGATTTTTTCTATTGTTATAGACATTTTTATCGTCAACGACTAGATTATATACAAAAATTGGACATATTTTCTACACAATTAGTAACTAAAATATAATTTAATTTTTATCCAACTAAGAGTTTGAGGTGGTTTTAACTAAAAGGATAAATTTATTATTATTCAAACATTAATTTTATAAACTCATTTTAAATTTTAATATTATTAAATTTGTCATTTCTTAAAGTATTTTTAAATTTGTTAAAAATTTAGAAGTTTTCTAATGAGTTTGAAATGTTTATAGTTGACTTCAAACTTAATAACACAAAGTGACGAGCTTTCTTACCCAAGCAGCTAGTGCTATATCAAGTTTCCCTAGAATTTGCGCAACTCGGTGAAGAAACAACCATTCTATGACAACGATAGCACCATCATTCACTGCTAAATTTAGTTAGTGAGAGAAGAGTAGATCAAGCTCAGACTCTTCTCCCTTAAACTCAGATTAATATTTGAATTCTAAACAAAAGAGATTTATATCACATTTTTAACACATGTCGCGATCGTATTAATTAACAACTTTCAAAAATCAAGTTTTATATAATAAAATAATCTAAAAATTCAAGAAACTCAAAGATTGGATACACTTTCTAGAATTCACGACAGATTTTACTTTTTTTTTGAATAAATGTTAAATTTTATTCAAAAAAATCCTTTGGGCACTTTACAATGCAATCTTCTTCTAAAAACAGAGTTTAGAACAAAACAACTTTTACAAGAATAACTTCTTCTCTAATTCATTCTTATTCTTGTGGCAAACCAAAGTTGTAGACCTCCCTCCATCTCATTTCCCACAAATCTCTGGACAGAAGAGAACCTATTACGAATACTTCTATCAATGTTTCTCATCAGAATACTAGGAAGCAGAGGCGGATTACCATGTCTTCTTCCATTTCTTTCCAGCCACAATCCGTGAATGGTAGCCTGAAAAACGTACTTCAGAATAAACATTGAGTTGCTTTTATCTAAATATGTTTTCTTTGTAGGTATGTTGCTTGGACTCAAATCTCAGAAACATATTAATCAACTCCTAATTTCATACCTCTAATGTTTAGTCCCATAAGAGACATCCATGATTTTAGAGTTTAAATAGATAGTCAGATATACTGTAGATTGTTATTACTTATTAGTTAATACAAGAACGATAAACAATATAATAAAAATCTTGATTCTGCTTATCCACCACTAAACCATAACTTTATGGCTCAAGGCTTTGTGTTATACGTTTCTGACAAAACACACACTAGTCTCTCTGGTTCTAAACAAACATCATACATTTGTTTCTAAGTTTTTGAAACTGCAATTCCTTGACGCAGAATGAATGAAACATACAAAAGGAACAAAAGCCTTAGCAAAAGAGATGAAAGGGAAGATATGAGAAGTGTGTTAGTGTTTTTAAATTTGAGGACTGGGCTTCACTGAACCTCTATCCATCTCTTCACTAGTTGAAGTAGAAGGATTCAAACCATACTCATTTGTTTGATACTCTTTACTCTCTAATGCCAACTTCCTAAACTTTTTCATGTCTGCACTGTACGATCTCGTGTCATACTCCGAGCTCCCACTTCCAGGGCTCAAATACGTGTTCTGTGCTGCTCTTCCTCCTTCGCTTAGATCCTCTATTGACATATCTCCTTCTAGTGCTCTTACAATCTTCACATGTTCCAACATTCATAAGCATGACATAGTTATCATCAAGATTGTGTTTGATTAACAAGTTACCTGGCTCATCTTAGGACGTCTTCTTGCTGAGTGTCTGATAGCTGCAGCTGCACAAGAAGCCATTCTAACCATCTCTTGTTGATCATAATTTGTCTCTAGACGTGGATCTGCTAACTGGCTGTAATCTCCATCTTGAGCTGCTTTCGAACACAAAGGCCTTGCCTGCACAACACACAATAATAACAACATTAGGTTCTTTTGTTGTGGATTAAACAAGTAAACCGAAGAGTAGACCGACTTACCCAATCTACTAAGCTGTCTTCCATTTCTCCGGTTAGATCCACTGGAGGTCGTCCGGTTATGAGCTCAAGAAGCATTACCCCAAAGGAGAAAACATCAGATTTGTCTGATAACTTTCCACTTGACGCATACTCTGGAGCTAAGTATCTGGACCCAAAGAAAATGTTAAACAGAGTGGAAACGTGCCCTACAAGAAAACAGAGTCCAAAGCTATTTACCCAAAAGTCCCCATGACACGAGTGGAGACATGAGTATAGTTGTCTTGAGATAGCTTAGCTAATCCGAAATCTGCAACCTATAAACACAACATAATCATACATAACATCCACATTGGTTTGAATACGATGAAAATGAAAGTAATATACCTGAGTTTCAAAACTGAAATCCAGAAGTATATTTGCAGCTTTGATATCTCTATGGATAATGCGAGGATGACCTAAATATATACAATGCTTAGTTTCTTAAAGAGAGCGAGGTAGAAACTATCAATGTGAAATCAAAAGATTTTCTTACAGTCTTCGTGCAAATATGCGAGACCTCTAGCTGATCCTAATGCAATCTTCACTCTTATATGCCAATCCAATACTGGACGACCCTTTCCTAAAAATTTCAATCATGTTATTGTTAAAAGAGACATCATACTCTTAAAAAGGTGATGATTCTGTTAGAGGAATGTACCATGAAGATGGAATTCAAGAGTGTTATTAGGTAAAAACTCATAAACCAATAGCCTTTGACCACCAGAGATGCAATATCCAACAAGAGAGACAAGATGACGATGATGGACACGGCTGATGATCTCAACCTCTGCTTGAAACTCACGTTCTCCTTGTCCACTTCCAACTTTAAGACTCTTCACTGCAACTTCTTTGCCACTGGGTAAAACCCCTTTATGAACATACCCAAATCCTCCTTGTCCTAGCAGATTTGACTCAGAGAAACCTTCTGTTGCAAGGGAGAGTTCATCGTAGGTGAAAGTGCTTTGGTTGTGACCAAGAGTGGCAGCTGGAGGCGACGGTACGGTTAAGTAAGAGCTGTCGCTAAGAGGACCGGACACAGGTTGTTGTTGGCCCCCCCAGTTTCCTCCTCCTTGGTTATCCATGTTCACTACATGTTCTTGAGGTGTTCCATTGTTGTAATAACCACCATTACCTACATATGCAACAACTACATTAGACTATAAAAAGTCTAAATCCTTTTACACATACCAAGTTCTCAAGATGGAACTATATGTGAATATAAGCTTCCACATTGAAAGTTTCGACATTACTAATATATGAGGGGAACCAATTGTTTTAAGTTGGAAGGTAGGAAACGTAACGAACAAGTATAAATCACTAGACAATAAGGGCTTAAACATTGATTGTGTTTAAAAATTTGATTACCATTGGGAGCTCCAAAGGGAGTGTTATTGTTGTAATAGTGCATGTGGTTGACTTGAGGAGCACGTTTCTTCTTACTCCTCTTGTAGCAACAGAGGCAAATAAACATTAGAAGTAGAAGCAATAGCCCTGCTCCTACAATGACTCCAATAATCAATCCAATGTTGGGTTGGTGCTGATGTTCCCCTGGTGGTAATGCCGTGTCTGAATCTCCACTATTCCGTGGAGGGCTTATTGGGCGAGGCGGTGAAGGTGAGCCACCGTCACTGGAACCTCTGTTTCCAGACGGTGGAGACGGTGTGGAACCGTCTCTGTTGTTACCCTTGGTTCTGTTACGGTCATCATTGGCAGCAGGTGAAGGAGGAGATGGTCTTGGTAAAGGAGGTGATTGGATAGACGGTGTTTGAGGCGGTGCAGGTGGCGTTACAGGAGATGAGCCTTCAGGAGAAGGTGGAGAAGGATTCTGTGGAGTTTGCGGTGGTGGATTAGGTACAGCAGGAGGAGATGATGGCAATGAGGGAGGAGGTGAGGTTTCCTGCGTGGGTGGTGCAGGCGGAGGTGAAGAATCTGGTGGTGTTGGAGGAGGAGCAGAATCAGGGGAAGGTGGAGATGAAGCAGGTGGTATAGGCGGTGATGTTGTCCCATTTGATTCTGCATTAGGTGTATCCGGGGCAGGAGGTGAAGTCTCTGGCGAGTCAGCCATAATGAAGTCTTGTTCTTTTGGTGAAAGGTTTCTCAACGGTGGAGAAACCTTCTCCCCGGTGATCCTTGACGCAACAGCCTTGCGTTACAAGCAAAAACAATTGAAATTTTGAACTTGGAGATAGATATTCAAGAAGAGCTGGTGAAGAAAAGAAGATTGTTGCAAAGAGAGAGGAAACGTGATGGTTTCTCTTTTGGGTTTGGAGACATAGCTACGACGGAGGAGAAGAGATTAAGGAACTATAATTAGGAGGACCAAAGCTTCTACCACCTTACCTATATTTGCTCTTTCTAGAAAAACCGTAGTCTCTCTCTCTCTCTTCGCCTTTTACGTGTATGCCGTTTGAAGTTTGATGAACCAAACCGGTCTAGAAGAAAAATCCAACCGGTTCGAGATTGGAGGTTCTGTGGACAGAGATTATAACTGGAAGAGGGTGTATACCACCAAGTCAGCAACTATTCATTAAAATAGAAGCAAGCAGGTTCTGAGGAGAATGATTTGAGTAGTAACTATCCGAGGAAAAACAAATGTAATCAAAACCGAACCAGAAAGAACGGTTAGCTCATTGCGCGGGAGTTAGTAAACATTACAAGAAAGATAATGATTAGTTTTTATTTTATCAAGTAGATAATGTTTAGATCATAATGGTTACGTAAGAGATGATAAAAGATCCTCTCGGGTAAATGAGGAACCTAAAGAGGGAGGCTCCAACTTCGTTACACCATGCAACTTATTTTAGGACACTGTTTAGTCTTTACTAACCATGATCCATACAACATTCCCACCTTATGCGGATTCATATATCTCTGATCAAAGTTACAATTCAAAAAAGTTCAACGATCCGATAAATAGAGTGCATTCACAGTTCTCTCCATATCATTTCACAGTTACATTAAACAGTGACTGATGGGTCTACAACCCCTAACTAACTCCGTCTTCTACATAAATCTCCAGAAAATGAACCAAGCGCCACAAAAGGTGGGATGATGTACCTGGGCTTATTAATAGAACATCAAGAGCTTCCCCGTTGAATCTGAACACTATGATGTGGAACTACTAAGCCGAAGAAACATTGTCTGAACCTGGAGGTGGACCTGAGCTTCCGGTCACTGCTGTTGAAACTGCAAGTGAACTAGGAACAGAGAATGATGATGTACCTGGAGGCCTTGGCATTGGTGGGCGTGGAAAGGCCATACCCATGGGAGGTCTTTGAGCAAAATTTGCAGCGATTCTGTTTGTTGGTAGTGATGCTTTTGAGGACATTGGAGGTGGGGCACCGAGTCGAGCTGCTATGATCTGTGCCCTTTCATGGTATAGCCGTTGCCTTGACCTCTCTAATTGCTCTCTTACTCTCAATGTCAAGCTTTCAGCGTCGTTGAATATAGATAGTTTTGCTTCAAGTTTACGTAACTGCTTAGACATAAAAATAAACCCCCTCATAGTCATGTTCAAACTCTGAACGATACTGCACCACAACGGAATTAAAGCTGCATACACCTAAACCATATTTTACCTGCTTCTCTATCAAAGATCCAGAAAGTTGTCGGATTTGATCTTCTTCTTGCTCCACAAGATGCTTTGCCTTTACTGCTGCAGCTGAGAGAGCAGAGATAGCTGCGCGCTTAAGCTTATCACTGTTATGTTTGTCTTTTGTCTCTTCAGAGACATCCTTCTCTTTATTTGGATTTTCATCTGCAAACAATGTTTAAACAACAAACAAATAAGATATACAAGAGCCATGCAATGCAGGTCCAGTTTTAAATGTGCCTGAGAAAGAGAGACAACCATCTGTTCCATTTTCCGGTACAGAAGCTGATCCAATGGCCTGCTGTGCAACAGAAGACTCTGGCATAACAAGAACATCCTTTGGACTCTCCTTAGCTGGTTCAAACTCGTCGCCTACTGTTTTGACCATATCTTGAGGGTCCTTCTCTGCAGGTGATGTATCCTTCATCTCCACATCTTTTGATGCTTCTGGCTGCGAAGCATCTGCAGCTGACTGGGAGACAGTTGCTTGAGAGACGTCTTTATTTTCACTTGAAAGCTTCTTTCTATCCTTTAAAGTTTTTTGGTTCTCTTTTCCTGAACATTTGTCCTTCGATGTACAACTAATATCCGCTGGTTCCTCTGAATTTTCAGTTGCGACTGACTTACTAGATCTTTTTAGTCCTTCAGAATCTGGATTTCTAGCAGAGTTTTCAGTTCGGGAACCAGGCTGCTTTTCTTCAGAGACTGAGTCCTGATTTTCCTTGCCTGGATCAGCATCTGTCATTTCCCGATCATCTGTATTCAAGGAGACATCTTCTGCTTTCTGGCTTTTTTCTTTAGGCTGCTCATCTTTATGGGCACTATCATCGTTCCCCACTGCATCCACACTGCAAATGTCTTCTAGTTTCAGATTTAAGATATATTGAAAGCAGAACAAAAACACAGAACGGGAAAACATTATCGGATATTCAAATAAACGTGAAACCTTTTTGATTCAGTTAAATTCTTCTTGTTGTCTGGTGGATCTTCGAGAACAAAACAATGTCGTGTGGCAAGCAGCAATCCAGAATTGCGTTTAAGAGATTTTATGGAAGCCCGGGCTGAAGCAGTAGCAACGTCATATCCAGCCAATCTCACCAGAAAAGCTGCCTGTAGAAAAGAAAAACCGTGTAGGATCAGTGAGGGAAGAAGTTCAGGAATAAAAACAAAATCTCCTCTCAGTCCCCATTGCAGAAAATTTTCTGTCTTACCAGTCCCATGACAGGATTTCCTAAATCAGCAAAGGATAAAGAGGCTTCGGGTGTGATATGATAACCAACGTCTTCAAAAGCTTCAGTCAGAGCTTTCAGAGCAGTGTTTTCATCAGCCTCATCTTTACATCTTCCATCAGTGACGGTTTCTATCCTGGGCGTTTTCTGTTCGGCTTCCACTTCATTAGTTTTCTCACTCGCATCTCCAGGCTTCGAAGATTCCTGAGGAACTTTTCCATCACTGTCATCTTCTGTTTCTGGAGCTTCCTTCACAGTTTCAACTTCATTAACAGAATTTTTGTTCTCTGTCTCTTCAGGTGCATCTTTTAGTACAGATTTATCATCTTTGGACACAGCTAAATCTGTAGCGTCTTTTGTACTTGGATCTTTGAATTCGATTTGATCAAGAAATGCATCCTCGATTGGCATTTGAAGAAAATGAAGCATACACTGAGATTTTGTTTTTGTAGCAACATGCTCTGCAATCTCACTCCATTTATCTTTGAAGATTTCTATACCTTCAAGGAGAAGAAGAGTCTCTTGATCAGTCCACTTCCCACTACCAACGCCAGGAGCTTCAGCAGAATCCATTAGTATAAAGTCGGAAGATGACATATCTGAACTGAACTTGCCACTGTCAAAGCATTCCGTACACAAGTCAAAATCCGCCTGTCGAAACCTCAATATTAGCTTGAAAGTTTTGAGAAACAGGAGAAAGAATGAATCTTACAACAAACAATAAAATGATAGTACATATCCATAGTTAAATTATGGTTTTGTTTCTATCTCAGTTATGCAAAGCCAAAGGGGAACAGATCGAGAAAATATCAATTTACTAGGACGGTATGAAAATAAAGTAGAGAGAGAAAACACCTGCGTCTGGCAGTGGTAGCGCTTGCGAGAGCAATCAGCTGAGCAGGAGTTGCAGTGATATTCGACCGCTGGACCCTCTTGCTTCAACAAGTCATCACCAGCCACCGGATCTGGGAACAACCCTGAAGGCGTAGCTTGTGCTGTGGGACGAGGCTTGTGAACAAGAGCAGGGGAAGGCTCATCTATTTTAAAACGATATAAACTGTTAAGCAGAGACTCCTTATCCCCTAAATCATCATTATCACCGGGAATAGAACTAGCATCTGGTGATGGGAATGGGTGAAAATTGATTAAGCCCCAGTAGTCTAAGAACTCCATCACCTCTTGCTTTGCTTCCGAATCTCCAACCTCGAGTTCTGCTAAGTCTTTTACTTCTATCTGTGTGTTCGGATCGGAATGAAACTTCTTCATGATCCAATCCCGTATTTCCCTATACACCTCAGAAGTGCGACCTTCCACCTTGCCGTTAAAGAAAGAGGGCAATGAGCGTTCTTCAAGCGGGTGAATCTTTTCCCATGAAAACCAACCTTCAAAAATTTTCAGTACAGGAACCCATATTACACTTCGTTCATCTTTACAACGAAATTATATGGATACAAATTGTGAGGATCGAACCACAATAACAATGATATGGTAGTACTCAATGTCTTTCAATATAAGGACTAGGATCATCTATTGGTGTTCGTCACATGAGACTCTACGTGACTAGCATGCTCGTTCTACCTTGATCAGCACTAAAAACAAAACAAAAGAACTGTTGTAGTATCATAGGATACAACTCTGATAATCTCATGCCAATGCATCAGCTAGACACACACACACACACACACACATACATGCCAATCCATATCACAATGTTCTTCTTTACACCGAAATTATATGGATGACAAGAAGTGAAGAATGAACCATAGTAACAAGTAAAAGCCTAGACAACGATACCATATTACATTCTAGGTCAATGTTAATTCAAAAGATTAGAGTCATCAACTCATCTTCTGGTGTTCTTCAAATGAAATTCTACATGACTAGCATGCTCGTTCTACCTTGATCAGCACTAGAAAACGAAAAACTGCTGTAATACCATAAGATACAACCCCTAATAAATTAATTATCCCATTACATTGCATCAACTACACACACATACAAACAAAAGAGCACACTATTTCAAATCTTGATTTCTCTTCTCTGATAGACTACATGACCTCTCTCAACACATGTAACAAAGCAAATCCCATAACAGAAAGACAAATCTTCTTCCATTTAAACCTAAATATCCAAAATCTAAAAATTAAGTGTTAAAGTCTCCTCCTTTCTAAACAAATCAAAACAGTGAAGAAGAATTAGAACGAACCGCAATGATTAGGCACCACATGAACACTACTCTCACGAGATCTAATCCCTTCGAACTCCGCTTCGATCTTATCCTCCCACTCACGGATCGCTTTCTCCCTCTCCTCCTCCTCCTTCTCACCATCCGCACCCACCACCACCGCCGCCGCGGCACTCGACACCTCCGACTTCACCCCAGCCGCGGACGGCATGTTGCTAGGCGCTTGCCGAGCTCTAGTTAAAGGACCGTTATGGACAGGAGAGAAGGAAGCAAGCATCGCCTTCTCCCGCGTGAACATCCGCTTGGAAGAAGAGGAATTGGATGTCCCTAGAGCATTCGATTTGCGTTTCAAACGACGCCGCGTCGAAGGCTCGGATGCCGGAGAGTCTCCGGACGAAGCTAGGGTTCGTTTCTCCTCCATCTCTCTCTCTCTCTCTCAAAGTGTGTTTGGCTCTATGCTACTACAACAACAACAAAACCATTTTTCAAGGGTTTTTAGCAAAAAGAACGTTTGCTATTTCCCAATCTCAATTTTGCTTCTTCCCCCTTCACTCTTCCTTTGACATTTAATTTTGTTTTGGGAGTTTTTTGTAATTAAGTTTTATTTGGGTGTGGAATTAGTATACTGTAAGTTTTAAGGGGAAGAACCGAAACATGTTGAAATTGGCATGCCTGCAATCGGTTTACTTCGGTCTAAATCAATCACTTTCAGATTAGCCTTCCGGTTCGACAGAAATATGGAGTTTGCTAAGAATTAAAATTCGTTTATAACAGATTTTGGGGGTTTTTAGGTTAAATTCAAAGAATCTTATTGAAAGAACTACACTTTATATTAAATCAATCTCAAATTTGTGGTTTATAGTCATTTGGAATTACACATTTAAACCAAGCACACGGTTTTTTTAAGATCGAAGAATACATTAAGTGAAAAACTGTAGAATTTAGTCCCAAGTGTAGGGTGAAATAGTTTCCAAAATATTTTTTACATTGTATTTGTAGATTTATCATATAACTTCTTAGGATAAATATTTGTATATTTATTTGGATTCAGTTAATTTATTCAGATTTTAGATTTTTAGAGTTAAAAATTTAAATTTTATTCGAATATTTTGGTTTATATTTGGTTAGAATCATTTTGGGTTCGATTTAGATTTGAGTCTAGATGTCCATTTTAATACGTATTTTCAACAAAATCCAAATATACTCAAGTCCCTAAAATCTAAAGATAAAATAATATAAAACATAAAAACTGAATAATATAGGACTAAATTTTTAAATCTGCAAAAAAATTAGTTCAATTTGGATAAGAACAAATAATATTATCAGTATTTTGAACATTTACTGTTATTTTTAGATATTTACTTGTGATTCTTTTGATAATTTTTAGATATTTTCATATTTTTGAATATCTAATAATTATAAAATTTTAAATAATTAATAGATTTTATTATATAATTATGAATTAGATATTTTAATATCTAAAATAGTTTAGTTTATTAGATTCGAATCTGGTTATTAGGATATTAAATTTTTAGATCCATTTGATTATGTAATTAGTTTTAGTTTATGTTTAATATTACTTTCAATTCTAGATCGGTTCGGTTCATCGGATGTATATAGTTACCCATACTTACTTTCTTCTACTAATATAAAGTAAAATAAATATTTTGGCTTATTTAACGTTCATAATCATTAGACTATACTTAAAGAATAATAAAAATGATTGGACGTCGTGTCATTATTGTTGGGCATACTACAAAATTGACATAGGCTATAACCAATAACATGTATTGTTATAAGAAAATATAGGAAATTATAGTAAACACTATACAATCAATCGAAAGAGGCTAGAGTTGCGTGTAAAATAATGTGACCTCTTCACTCGGCACTTAAACTCTGTTATCAATCGATATCACAAATTTTATTTCTTTGTAAAACTATTCTGATTTTTTGATTTTTCTAGTAATCTGATTATGTTTTTAATTCTTGGTATGATATAAAAACTTTGTAATGAAAATCAATACTTGGCTATCCGACTTTGCGTGTAATGTTTTTTTACTTGAGTTTCTTTAATTCATAACCACTTACAATTATTAGTTGTTTTCGTGAATTGAAACCTCAAAATCATGGCCAAGTTCGGTAAGATATGAAACTTTCAATTTTTAAGAACGTGATTCTTATTCCAGCATTTTAGTTGATGTGAATCTTAATGATTTTTTTATTTTTTTTCTTTGAAAATTATATTATTCAGTAGTTGTACAAAGAAAATTTTAATTAATTTCAATTTACTATACAAATTTTTAAAATGCATGAACTAAAAATGAGCTGATTGAAAAAAAATAGAATGCGAACACATTGAATTATCTATATTGTATTTTAAAAATTATTGTGTAAACACATTAATTATTAAACAATTAGGAGATTGGCACGTCAACATATTCAAAAAATATAGTGTGCATGAATTAATTGTGAATGCTTCTCCTTTAATATATTGGAGATTCAAGAAATTTTACACTACTAGTTAAGATTTGATTTGCATTTTCGGTCCGATTAAAATGCTCAGGACTACTTATTTCATATTATTTGACAGTATTTTTCATTCAGTTATGTATTTTGATTTTTTTTTAAAGTGTGATACTGAATTAAATGTGTGTAGTCATTATTCTAAATTACGCCGAGAAGATTTTAGTCTAGTGGTGTAAGGGAGTGCGTCATGGCATATAAACCACATACTTGAGGGATTGGACCCCTCCATGTCTCTAAAGTGAGGTTCTTTCCTAGACTTTTCCTTCAAAGGTTGTTCTATTGTATGTGCAAAACCTTAAGTTTCTTAATTCTCTTCATTTGCTGACTCTTTAGCTCAAGTTTTAGGACCTTTAGAAATTCCTGTAAGTTAAGTTTCTGCATCTAGACAAAAAACACACACATAGAAAAGAACAATCACTGAGTTAACCTAATTCTGAGAGAAAATATCAAATTCTCTTTTGTTTTTGGTGATAAAACTAAAACTTCCTACTTTCTTGCATCTAAATAAAGTTGAAAGTTCTGTGAGCTGATTAATTAGACCAGAGACATAAAATAGTATGGTACATATATCACCTCATGTCACCTAGCTACATCTTGTTAATCTATCTAAAAATGCATTCCATAAAAATATTTTTTAAAAAATCTGTCAGTGTTAAATGGACCATGGATGCTGTAAAATGACATTAGTAAAATAAATTTGAACTTCTTGTTACACGTACGGTTTCCACCTAATTACTTGACACGAAAAAGAACAAAGTCTTGGGAATGCTTTGAGTATTTAAATAGATCTTAGAAATATATTTTTGACAATTCTAGTTTAAAGATTAAAAGGTGATGAGAAGTTCGAAAAGAAAAAATCGATGTCTCCATTTTTTCTGAAGCTTATGGAAAATAGAACATTGGAAATACAAAGAATAAATTCTTCAACCGCAAGCAATCTTTTTACATCGTCGAGGAACAGTGAAGAAGTACAAAACCATAGAAAACACAATAAAGAAAAATTAAGCAATAAATCAGAACTTATAATGGTGCTTCTAAAAAGAACTTCTTTTGTGATCTTTCTTGGACTTCGAGAATCCTAAACCTAATCTCTCTCTCCACCAACCACTCGACCCTTTTGATTTGGTTCTAGGTGAATCATCGTCTTCTTCGTTGAGCTCTTCTCTCAAAGTTGGCATTCTCTTCGTCGTGTTAACTTCTTCCTTGAGAGGTAAGATCATGCCATCGCAAAAGATTTCATCTGCTGTGGTCATGGAGCAGTTCTTAACACCGAACTCAAAATCATCTGACGACGCAGGTGCCTCCTTGTACTTGATTACCTCGTTCTTTGTCGCTGCGAAACCGCTGGAAAAGGAGATCCTTGGCTCTGCATATGCACCCTGCTGATGATGTTGCTTCATGTTGGAACTCTCCATTTTAAACTTCTCTCTTTTATCTTTATTTGGTATGCTACTGTATATGATGCACGCTATATTGGTAAAATGACTGTATTTATATGTAAAATCTTGGATTCATATAACTCGGTTTTCTGTGCACATGATAGGGATTAATATTATCTTATTATCGTTTATGATGTCACATACACAAAGGGACGAATGTGTTGTCTCTTGGAGTTTAAAGATCTAAGATCAGATTCTTAATTGGTTTAGTTATCTTCAATAATAACTTATATCCTATTTCAGGATCAACAGCTGGGAAAAGTTAATGCTAATATAAATATATAGTCTCTTGATACACAAGAAGGGCCATTATCAAAACAATATCATTTCTATTTAATTGTTGTAAGATTAAACCATGAGCAAGATTAAACCCAGAGCTAACACAAAGGGATGTTTTATGCACATGAAAATTTTAATTTTATGCACATGCATTCTTTATAAAAAAGTCTCATGCCAAACTCAGTTATTTTATGCTTCAAGTAGAAATGTGGATACAATAGTAGTACTTTGTTGGCTATCCAAAGTCTCCAAAGGTTACACAATTTAGTTTAAAATGTATATTTCGAAACATATTAAATTTAGTTGTAAATGTATATTTTTGTAATTGTCTATTTCCTGTAATTTTAAACCAGTAAGATTTCAATCAATTCAATTTATATTTTAAAAGCTTATAATTAATCCTAATTAGTTGATAAAATGTATTAGAAATACAAAAAATACATATTTTGAAACAATTTTTTTCTCTAAAACATGTACTGTTGTGAACCGAAAGAGTGTTTTATTTTAAGCCATATGATTTACACTCCACAACGATTATATATAGAGGTAAACGGACGTCAGGTATTAACATCTAATTGACATTTTAGTTATACGCATCTCGAGAGATCCGTACATGTGAGAATGATAGCTGCTATTAGCTAGTTGCTCATAGTAATTATACAATTACTAGTCTGAGCTTCCACGCAACTCCGTCTTGACACGTTAACAGTAATTACACACACACGCCCTTGTTCAATCCCCACTCCACCAGGCACCAACCAAGAAAACTCATTTAGAAAGAAAAACATATACTATGATGAATCATGAACCGTACATTTCTTGTTGTACTTATTTATCAACTACTTTTTTTCCTATCTCGACATAAGTAAGACCCTCCTATAACTATTAATAAAAGTAATCCCTTTATCAAAAAAAAGAAAACTATTAATAAAAGTGATAATGTAAATAGCTGGAAAGAAAAAGCATAACTAAGAGCACCCCCATCAAAGGTTTAGATGAGGGGTTCACACGTTTTTCAACCAAAAAAAATATTAAACTAATCAAACCTTATGATACCCTCTCTCCTAAAACTCTCTCTAGTGAACCTTTCTCTCCTCGAGTTCATTACTGTAGCGTAGGCTCCACGACACGTGGCAGCCCGCGATTGGTCTATTTTTCTTTTAGAAAAAAAGAAAAATCAAAAAAGAAAAAAAAAATTTAATAATAAAAAAAAGAAATGATGAATCCCAAGAGAAGGTTCATTGATGGGGATGCCCTAAGGCCCCTAACTAACTAGATAGATATACGTACGTCGAAATAATACTAATATCTGAATCTGATAAATATCTATATTTATGCCCTTCCTCATAAAGTTATCTATATTTTATAATTTTAATCTTATGTGACGTCTACTTGTGTATATAGTTATATATGTATATATGAGCGCCGGTCTCACATGTCTCCATATAGTGAACAAAATTTGTATCCTGCAGTTGGAGTTCACAAAATCTGAGAACGTTTTTGTCTACTTGCGATTATTAATTTATGCAACAAAAAAATATTATAAAATAACAAAAACAGAGGCTTGACGTGCAAGGGCGGATCTTGGATTTAACTTGTTCTTGTGTGATATAATTTAAAATAAATAAATAAAAATAAGAAGGTTCGTTGAACCTCTTGCTGCTTCCGACTTCCGTTTAGTACCTTCAACATCGTTAGTTTAAGTCAATGTCGGTGAGTTCTTCTTACAAAGCAAGTGACTGGCTCATGGTTTGATGGATGGGCAAAACTACAATCTGAAAATATTTAGGGGGGTAATATATTAGTTTTATAATAAAAATCTGGAATAATCTTTTTATACGGCCCGTACTTGAAATCTTGGTATCCTCTGTCACAGACTCACAAGATATTTGGGGAAAATCGATAGTGTACTTTGAAAATTCAATGTTTTTCTTTTGCTGAATAAGGAAATTTAATGTTTAGAAAGCGCTGTGTACAATTTATATGATTCACTTTATATGGTTGGTTTGGTCGCTCGGACTGTACTTATTGTGAATATATTGCTTTGGTACCTTATAGAGTTGGATGGTTAATACTTAATAGTGCATTTGCATAGTTGTAAACAACATATAAACAACACTAACATTTTTGAGATTGCGACAAACCTCATTCGTATTCTAATGATAAGAGTGTTTCAGTGTTTACATTTGCTTGGATCCATCTCTTCAAAGCTAATTTGTAACTTACAATCTTCATGTTTTTTTTGGGAGCTCCTTACTAAGCAAAAAAAGTTAGAGACTTTCAGACCCTTGTCAAAACCTTTCTTAGATTTAATTGGTTCATTTAATAGATGGAAATCAGCAAAAATAAAGATTCAACAAGAACAAAAAAATTGACGAGAAAATGAAATTTGCAATAAAAGACAAGATCCTTTAAAAGATTAAAAAAAAAAGTCTAGAAAAAAAGACATACTCTAAAGGGAAAATTCCATATAAATACTCCAACTAAATTTTATTAAGCTTTTTAATATCTAAACTTTTTTGTTACCCAGTTTAATACCCCAACTAATTATTTTTCCCATTTTAATGCACAAACTTTTATAAATGTGCCCATTTTAATACCCAAACTTTGTTTATTTTAGTTAACAATACGAATAAGTTTCCAATAAATTTTTTAAAATTTCTAAACTTTACTAAAAAAAATTGATTTTATTATATGTTAGAGAAATGAAATTAAATAATTTTTATTAATCTTAAGTTTTGTAATAAGTTTTTTTAAGTTTTATATATTGAATTTAGTTTGTTTTCTGAAATAAAAAAGTAAATTATTATTTTTTCTTTAAAATTATTTTTTTTAAACATTTAAATTTTCTCCAGAGTTTATTTACCTTCTTTCTTAAATCTTAGAGTAAAGTTAGAAATTTTAAATATTTTTCTTAGATTTGGAGATTTTTACTGAAACCGGCAGTTGAATTCCAAGATTCTTTTAAATGGGGTTTTACATCAAATGGTACATATTCGACCCGAAGTGCTTATAAGTTTTCAGAGGCTCTTTTGGACTATGACCATCCTCCCCAGGTTCCTCTTAGCCCCATTGAAAAACATTTGTGGAAAGATTTATGGAAGACGAAGGCTCCACCTAAAATCAAGCACTTTATGTGACGTGCTCTTTCTGGTGCTTTAGCTGTCAAACAACGGTTGGCTACTCGGGGTATCAATATTGATCAAACTTGTTCTGTATGTGGAAATGGGATTGAGAGTATTTGTCATGTCCTCTTTACTTGTGATAAAGCAAGAGCCACATGGGAACAATCGAGTTTTCCGGTTCCTCTTGGGGGTTTCTCGGGCACTTCCACTTTTTTAAATTTTGTGCACCTGAATAAGACTGCCAAGAATATCAATATGGATAATCATACAAGGAAAGTATTCCCATGGCTCCTCTGGGAAATTTGGAAGGCTCGGAATACCTTTACTTTTGAGAGTAAAGTGATAGATGCTTCGGTCGTGGCTACAAAAGCTTATGAAGCAGAGTCTGAATGGTTTGATACCTTCACTGAAAGGGCTGATGTGGATTATAATACCGTTACGGAAATGATCCGCTGGAAACCCCCATCCTTGGGTTTCCTAAAATGTAATGTTGGATCTTCTTGGGTCAGATCCAATCAACCTAGTGGGGCATCATGGATTTTACGTGATGGCAAGGGGGTTACGATCATGCATAGCCGTCGGGCGTATTCTTATATGCGTACAAAAACCGAGGCTGATTTATGGGCTTTGTTTTGGGCGGTTGAATGTATGGCTAATTTACATTTCAAAAATATTATTTTTGAGACATCGTCCATCGACCTCCATACTTTCCTCACACAGCCTGAATGCCTACATCCCTATGACTTCAGCCTCCTACGCCATAATATTCTCTCCCTTCTGGAAAGGATAGACATATGGAGTCTGGATCATGCCCACCGAGATCGCAACGAAGCAGCAGTGGCTATTGCTATTAGTGTCACTCGTGATCAGCGCCACCACTCCTACATAGCCAGACATGCTCCAGCCTGGCTCTTTCATCTTCTCGCTTTGGAGGCTCAAAATTAAGGGTTTTAAGCTAGGTAAGCTCCCATTCTTGTTGATGTTGGGGTCTACTGATTTCCCATCTTCTTTTTCAATCTTCCTTTATGTATCTTCTGTATCCTGTTTTGTACAATCACTATTGCAAGTGTTATAAAAAAAAAGATTTGGAGATTTTTTTTAAATTTTGTTTGAAACTTATTAGTATTGTTAATTAAAATAAACAAAGTTTGGGTATTAAAATGGGCACAATTATAAAAGTTTGTATATTAAAATGGGCAAAATTATTAGTTGAGGTATTAAATTGGGTAATGAAAAAGTTTGGGTATTAAAAACTTAATAAAATTCAGTTGGGATATTTATATGGAATTTTCCCTCCTCTGAACCTTATATATAAATAAGGAAATTCATCAAGTTTAAATGATCATCTCAGATCATCTCGAAAGCAAAAAATACCTCTCAAACGTCTTTCAACGACTAAATTCTCTTGTAAATTGTAATGACCTATGATTTGACTTGGCCTCTATTCAAATGGTATGTAGACAATAATAAATAAAACATTTTCTATGTTCATTGGCTAAGTTCCAACCTCAATACTTAGATTTCTTCTAAACCTTCAATTGTAATCGTGCTTTTATAAGTACATCGTTTTCTTGTTCAAACAATAAAGGCGAAGTTCGACTAATCTCCCCTTGCGCGTTTATTTCTATTATTTGATATAAACTTTCTGAGGAGAGAGGAGGGTTTATCGTGAATAGTCTTTTGACTTGCTTAATATTCCAGCGTTGTAAAACCTTAATTTCTCCCTGCTTCAGGCCACCGACTTTGACTATGAAGGTTTTCCATCTCGACCGTGAAAACACACTCTCTGTTTCTCTCTTCTCATTTTGATTCAGTTTCTCAATCTTGACTTGTATCCAAAACAAACATTTTAGGAGTTTACTGTGTTCAAGGAGCTCTTGACTTCGAAGCTAGAAACTAGAGACTTAATTTCTCAATGCATCACTTATAAAGTTCTTGTTCTGCCCTCCATTTTCACATTCCAAAACGACTCTTTTTTCTTGATTTTTTAAAAGACCTCGTCTACAGTTATAACTCGGGATCAAAACATGTAAGGAGCAAGCGTTGCTTGTGGTTCTTGAGACCCTTCTTAGCTACTTCTGAGATAAAAGCAAAAGACACAGTGAGTCTAGTTAAGTTGTTTGAACCTTAGCTATTGGTCTGTTATAACTAGATTATAGCTCTTTTGAGTTGGTTAGTGAGCAGTTATGTAGAGTGTTGTTCCCAACTTAAGTCGGCCGCCCTGCATATAACTAATGATCTCTTCTCTGGGAGATGCCACATTGTTTGCAGGATCGCTACACGCGAAGGTCTTTAAAATTAGACATCTTTCCTTTGTTTGTCAACCAAAACATACTTTTATCCGTTATAACTAAATTACATCAGACCAATGATGAGTTTATTAACATAGAGTTGACCAAAAAACACAACCTTCAGATTACTAATTACATTTCCGTTCCCTAATACAGTCAAAAGGCTCTACAGGATAAAACAAACCAAGAATCTTGCTCAATTTGAACAAGCCAAGCCAGTGTTCACTCTCCTCTTGCACTTAAAAAAACAAGCCAAGAATAAAGAACCAAGTAAAAACATATCACTGAAACATATCAGCAATAGTGTTTCCTGAATCCGAAGAATCTCCATTCCCAAAATCCATCATCATCTTCAAATCTTCATCCATATCACACTCTCCTCTCCCTCCGCCCCATCGCTCTGCTTCCACAGAATCCACTGCACTTACACTCGCACTTGCACTAGCGTCAGCTGCAACAGGAGAAGAAGTGTAGTCCATAAACGGGAAGTTGAGTTTAGCCCGTGGCCCACGGAACCCAATAGCGGCTCTATCATAGGCCCTAGCCGCGTCCTCAGCGGTTTGGAAAGTGCCGAGCCACACACGTGTCGCTCTCTTGGGATCTCTGATCTCAGCTGCAAATTTCCCCCAAGGTCTCTGTCTCACTCCTCTGTATCCATTCTTCTTGTTCTTCCTCTTCCTTATTTTCCCGCCTTCCGCTTTCTTCGCCGCCACAGCAGCCACTGATCTCTCTCTTCTACTAGTAACCCCATCTTCTTCTTCTTCTTCTTCCACTTGTTGTCTCTTTTCAATTCTCTGATTTGGCGCGAAGAAGTAGTCGCAGCCCAGACAACCATCGATCTTACAAACTTGGCAAGCGACAGAATCCGACCGAGGCATTATCACTGTGCTGTCGCTGGAGAAGGCCTGATACGGCGTCGTGTCCCCTTCCCCTGAGATGACGTGTTGCAAGGCAGAGACTAGAACTGACAGCTCTTGCTCCGGTGAAAACTGCTCCTGATAGGGATACCAGGTCCGGGTCTCTGAAGCTCCGATGAATTCGGGTCTGGTGTAAGGATAGTGCATGCCCAATTAAAATTTGAATTTGGATAAAAAAAAAAGATTTGGTTATTTGTATTTTCTGTTGTGTCTGAGGAAACTGAAAGTGGAAGGGAGCTGTTATATATACGGTTCCGTGTTTTCACTTGCCAACTGGCACACTCTTCAGACACGGGGTCGTTTTGTGTTCTGTCATTTTTTTGGAAACACGTGCGTTATTTTCTCATTTGTTTTTTTAACAATTAAAAAAATGTCATTTTTAATTTTTGGGTTAGGTTTAATTAAATGACAGTGATAATGACATTTACACTAAAAATAAAAAATATTTAATTATCCTTAATTATTAATTTATTACAGTGCTTATGTACGCTTTCACATTGTTTACATTTAAATTTAAACATGTTTAGTGAGATGAGTATCTAAGGTACGTAATTGATTGGCTTAGAATAAATCACGTGCTGCTTATAATTTTATTATTCGCCTGAGCTATTATCTTCACATGTATCCATTATAGATATCAACTTGTCTTTGTAGATGACTAGATCCATCGCCTCGAACCTCATTTGCAAATCTATCTTTTTTTTTTTGTCTTTTTATACGTTAAAGTTAAACCCTGGTACGTCGAATCAATCCAACAACATTTTTTCAAGTTATGCCAATAGACATGTGTAACATTACCATAACATGGTTGTTCATACCAGGGCCGGCCCTGAAAATAAGGGGGCCTAAGGCCAATTTTTAACAATTTCACCTAGAAATTTTTTTTTTTTATGGATTTGGGGGCCTAATAAAAAATTTTAGGGGCCAATATGCATGAAACTTTTTTCAAAAAATTTGGGGGCCCAAGGCCAATGTTTCATTAGGCTTGGCCCAGGACCGGCCCTGGTTCATACACAAATCTTCCATCCATTTCATATCAAGTGTCTTTAAAGAAATTTTTTATTACAAAGTAAATATCATTTTCAATTTTTAATACAATATTTATTAGTTTTATATTATAATTAATTTATTTTATTGATTAAAATATGTTTAAGTATATATGTAATTGTGTTTTATATAGAAAATATATAAAGTTAACTATTTTTTTTTAATTTGTGTACACATAGTTAAAATGACATTTAATATGAAATAGATATGAAATAATAAATTTGAGTAAATTAGAAAGAAAAAAAATCTTCATCTCATTAGCACAGGTAACAAACACAATGAACTTTGCTCAAAATTTATGTTTTACCCACTATAATCTATCAAACTGCTTTTATACAAATTTTATGATTCGTTTTTTTTCTTTGAAAATATTTTATAAATAGTTCAAAACAGATATTATTCCATCTCCCACCAAAAGAGAACACGATTCAGGCCTAAAGTTCAAACAGGAAATCAGACAAGATAACAAAGGTCTAAAAACGCCTTATGAGATGAAACCTAAATTATTGTCGTAAAGATATGGGGTATTTCACAAATCATTGACTTTACCATAGTTATATTTGATCATCAAAGCATGGTATTTTTTATATATTAAAGTTAGATCAAATTTAGATTCTATCCTGAAGTTCTCATCTCAAAAAATGTGTTAAAAGTTAAAACACATAAAAATTATATGTTACAAAAAACTATATGTTACAAAAAAACTATATGTTACAAAAAAAATTATATGTTACGAAAAAAACACAAAATATGATTTAAAATAATATACAAATTGTATATATGAACAATCTACTTAATTTCAGTTACTTTTAAGTCTGTGATCTATAAAACTTAACAATTCATATCGTTTTAGGTTTTATAGTTTGAATTGCCTTTAAGATCTACACACTATCACCACTCTTTGGCATCTGCATCCAGTGTCTCTTACTTCAAACCATGGTTGTAGATTCATTTCCGTCTTACTTTTCAGTTACTATAAATGATGAGCTAGTATATATGAAATTTAAAAGTTTTTGACATAAATATATGAAACTTATATTGCAAACAAAACTATTTGAAAATTTTAGGAAAATTACATTGAAAAGAATTACGTTTGCAAGTTATACTTTATCACGAGCATTGAATCCAAGTTAATTAAAGAAGATAGGCTATATGAATTCAACTAACATGAGACAAAATGACATTTTGGATAATTTTCTTCTTATAGTTAAATAAGAAAGAGAAAATGACTAAAATAACACTAGAAAAATTTTGTCACAAATATAGTACTTAAAACTAAAAATGACCAAAATAGTATTTAATGTTTTATCAAAAGAGATAAATATTCACCTATATCCCAATAATAAATTAATTTAGACATTAGGATTTAGAGTTATGGGATATGATTTAGGGTTTAGGGTTTAAGGTTTAGAGTTTAGGGTTTAGGGTTTAGAATTTAGGTTTTAAGGTTTAGAATTTAGGTTTTAGGGTTTAGAGTTTAGAGTTGAGGAGTGGAGTTTTGGGGATAAGATTTCAGTTTTTGAAAAATAAAAAAGTTTTAAATTTTTCAAAAGATAAAATGTTATTTTGGTCATTTTAGTTTTTGAAGACTATTTTTGTAACATAAATTTAGAAATGTGCTATTTTGGAGATTTGACCAATAAGAAAACTAAAGATGGATAAAAATAAATGGAGGAGAAAATGAGTTAACTTGTTATTAAAGCCTTAAAGGTAATGAATGAAAGCGAAGGTCTCACTGTTTCTCACTATTCTCAGATATTACAATGATTTTTTTCCCGTTCTTGGGGTGAAATATTTCAATGATTTAGACGTTGAAGTGTATATATAGATCATGATACTAAACTGGCATCTGGATTCAGAAAGCTCTTACGTCCCGTTTATTACTGTGTTGACCCTTTCTCGACGCTGATCCACCACGTCTTCGAGTTCTAGCTCTCTTCAAGCTGACCTGACCTTTGATTATTATGTTCTCTTCCTGGTCTTTGACTTCGTATCGCAGCCAAGTATATACAAACACATACATTGACCCTAATGAATATCATAGGGGTAAAGTACTTCTTAATTTTATAAAGGAATATGAACAAATTTTAAGTTCTATTAATATACCTTTTTCATCTATAAAACATATATATGGAGAATATTTGTTGTTGTTTGTGCACCTAGAATTTTTGTCGTTAAAGAAAAGGATATGTAGGAAATTACTTCAAAACATAGAATATACCATGCAACTTTTCTTGATATGGTATTAGTTCTAAAAAATATTGGTTTAACATATATTTTTATTCTCAGGTGATCCAGTTTGATGATTTCTACTTCATTTGTTCATGATCTATAATATTTTGTCTCAGTGCATAGATATTAATTTATTTTAAATATCATTAAAACCATTTAATAAATTTATATAAATATATATATCAATATAAAAAAGGTAATTAATTAAACAGTTTTTGATAAATTTAAAATGATCTAGAATATAAAAATATTTATATTATGAAATAACAAAATCTTATAAACATCTTACATATTTAAAACGAAGAAAATATGATAATAATTAGGTCTTGGGATTTAACATTCTCGATAAAATTTAGTTTGTTATTTATACTCACATCTTACCCGTAGCATTCTGTGGCCAGAAGGTTAAGGCATCACTAGGTTTTTTTTCTGTTCAGGTGCATGAGTCAAAGTTAATACTCTTTCCATTTCAGTAAAAGTGATGTTTTAGGATTTTTTTGTTTCAATGTAAATGGTGTTTTCAAGTTCTATGGAAATAGTTAATGTAATTTCATGTTCAAGATTAATAAAAAAAAAATTGGAACGAGAAGTAAAAGCATTAGCCACCAAAGGTAGAGACGCACGTTGAGCACGTGCAAAACTGATTAAACACGTTTGTTTGCGCTGACAAACGTTTCCTTTCATTATCTCGCCGTGTCACTTTTTCACTTTATCTTCTCTTTAGATTAGATTCGATGCATCAGTGATATACCTTCAATATTTAACTGGTAACGGTCACTCACCAACCAACCCTTTAAGCCTCTACTTTTTTTTTGTTTTTGTTTTTTTTGATAACTCAGGTGTCCGGGGCTTATTTAGAGACCCGACTATCCCCCGAAGGGGTCTTGAAGGCCAAACGGAAACCATGTTAAATCCGCTGTGGCCGGGGCTCGAACTCGTGATGGCGGACACCTCAGCCGAGGTTCCTTTACCACCAGATCACGAGGCCCGGTTAAGCCTCTACTTTTTTTTTGCTAATGTTTATTAAAGTCAAATATATATTTTATTGTAACTCTCTTTAAATTTAATAAATTATAGTAAACATGATAAAAATGTTGGACGTTAAAACTCTTCTATCTTTAAAGAAAAATAGTAACATGATTAAAAAAAAAATTGGTTGGATCCAGCTGGAGATTATACTAGTGTTTCTCTCCTTCATCTCTATTATTACTTTCCCCATTTCAGTCACCACATCCATCATCATCCCCATATATATCACCGCCACTTCCTCTACTATCTCCTCCGCTTCCGTTATCACCTTCGTTTTAATCACCATTTCCACTATCTCCTCCACCTCCATTACCACTTTTGTATTTACCATCTAAAGCCTCATCCGCAACTCTTCCGATCACTTCAATAATATCAACGCAACCACTAACCACAACCATCCTTGTAGACATGTTCATCATGGATAAGTGCTTGTAGATGGTGCCTTATGGATGAGAGCTTGGTGGACAGTTGTCGCTGACCCTCCTCCATCGTCTTATTTTCCCCCACTACTACCACCTTCGCGTTTCTTCTATAGCAACAATATTTTTTTTTCAAGAGCCATCACTGTTTCTTCTACGAGCATCATTTTCACCATCTTTTCCAGTCAACATTTTTTCATACCTGTCCACAACCGTCCTTGTGGACGGGTTCATTATGGATGATAACTTGTGGATGGTGCCTCATGGATGAGTGCTTGGTGGATGGTATATCTTTTATGGTTGCTACATCATGTCTGAGTTGTTTTTCAGGAACCCATAAATCCGCCGATGTTGAAGCTTTTAAATTGGTGCCACTCCCTGAAGAATTCCATGACCACAACAACGGATCCTAAGACCTAGCCTCAAGACTCAATTTCCGCTCTTGCCGTTGACGCTCCGCCGCTTCAAAAACCCTAGTCAACCGCGCTTCACTCCAGATTCAATCCGATCAAGGGACCTCCGTCTCCAAACAGACTTACCTAGGTCGATAAACCACCATCCTCTAGATCCATCATCAACAAAGATCCACTTAACGACAATGTTTATCGGTTGCATGGATGTATTTCCCGACGAAATAGAGGAGAAAATCAATTAGGGTTCTAGATTTGGAAAAATAAATTTGAAATTGAGATTTGAGATAGGAGAGAGAAGAAACAGATGATATCTGATTTTTGTGATGGGAACAATTATGTTTAGTTAAAAAAAGAAGAAATTGTTTAGTTAGCTTATTCAGAGAGTATTATAGACAAAGCATAAGAAAAAGTGTGTCAAAATCAAATTGTGTTCTTAGATGTAATTGTAAACTCAAAATGTGTCATTAAAAGTAATTTTTTTCTTAAATTTATACATAACTATCTCAGCAACTTAAACACTTGTAACCATCTATCATATAATGTAAAATTTGATCTTCAAAATTACTTCTCTTTAATTACAATCTCCCATGGTACAATATCTACCTCACTCTCTTGTTTAGTTCGCCTTTTGCCGATTTTTCTTTGTAAATGGGGAGGAGTTTAGACCAAGAACGTAAGTTGACCACAAAAAAAGACCAAGACCGTAATCTCTCTTAGACCTGTGATCAACCGGTGCTAATATGGATGATATGGTGTAAGGGCAACATTATTGCATGGTTTCTTGTGGTTGGTTCTTAATACACATATATGTGTATGTATATATTGTATATGCGTATATAATCGTGGATTAAGAGATTTTTTGTTTCGTTTCCTGTAAAGTCCTTAACCCACAATTATATACACATATATAATATATACATACACTTATATGTATATTAAGAACCAACCACAAGAAACCATGCAATAATGTTGCTCTAAGGTATTTCTTCCGGTTTCTTTGCTCTTTGCTTTGAAACTTTTTTATGGTTTTCCTAATACTTGAATTTCAAATTAAATTGAAAAGGGTTTGTAAGATATTACAATAGTTAAAGACATTTTAGCATTTACCTTGGTAAAAATACAAGAGCTATCAGTGATGCCATTCCCCAAAAATATGATGATGCTTAACATGTTTGCTAATTAAACATTGTAGTCCCTCCTCCCTCCTCCAACTGTAATCACTTTATTATTATTTTTTCCCTTCAGAATAATCAATTACATGTATATTTCTTCTTCTGCTCTTGAAGATTAACTATTTTGCACATACAAAAATATTACATACACTCCACAAAATTAAAAAAATCAAGTAGATAAGCTAGCATCCATGCTAGTAGTGGACGTTTCTTGGTTCATAGACGTTTCTTCAACATGCCACTTGAGAATCTCTCTCGCATACATCAGTGCATTGTCCACAGTATCACTCTCCAAGCTCACATGAGAAACGAACAGCTTTGGCTTAAACGTTCTTCCACGCATCGAGAAGGGTCCAACAATTGATTCATACAGTCTCTTGAACTGATATGCAATGTAATGGAAAGCACGCTGAGCCATCGGAGGGTTATGTCTGCTCGTCTGGTTCTGGCTGATCAACGGGTTGAAGTCTTTGAACCACTCACATGTTCTTAGAGGAACCTCCTCGATTTTCTCTTCCAAGAGATCAAATTTTGTTAGAACTAGAAGGAACCTTTTGTTAGCTAGGCTCGGGTTAGTCACCATTCTCTCGAAGAGTTGCTTGTTTGCTATCATCTTGTTCACAAAAACCCCATCATTATCTTGTATGTACTCTCCATAATCTGTTAGAGAGACGCAGAATATCACCAAGTCAGCATCTTCAAACATCTCCAGCCATTTCCAGTTTTCTCCAAGCCTTCTTGGATTTAACCGGATGAGTTGGTACCTAGAGAGAGAGAGAGATAAACTAAGTTCAATGGTTTTTTTCTAATACGAGGAGGTTCGGGGATGAAGCTCCTAATCCTCTAGACCCGAAACCAAATCATGTAACACAAACCAGAACTAACTTAATACAAGTCATAATGCAACACAGAGAAAAGGAATAAAACTAACTTCATGTTTGGATCATGTTGATCATCGGTATCAAGAGAGACATCTTGAGTGGTTGAGGGGAATGAGAACTCCACACAAGAAAGCCCTTCCATAGAAGAGATTCCTTCCGCTTGCAATATGTCCATATCAGAAGGTTCGTACTCTGATCTCGAGACCTCAAGAATCTGATGAGCGGTAGAAACAAAGTTAGGTTAGACCTCAAAAACGTTTATAAAGAAGAAAGCATTTGAAGAAAACAAACTGACTCGTTCAAGAAAATAAACAGCGTTTCTAGGAAGTGTATCACGAAGTTGCTTGTAAGTGTTTTGAATGGCTGGTACTCTCCATAGATCTGCAACGGTTTGTGCATTCTCTCGGCTTGATGCTGGGAATATCTTGAGGTTTCCATCTTCCTTCTCTTTCAGAAGCCAATCTGAAAAATGCTTTAGTCTCGGGTTGATTGAGCTAACAGTTGCAGTGATCTCATCTCCTAAATCACAAGAAACTAATCAGTGTCCCTCAATAATCAGTTGTTAACTGATGTTTGTATGTATATATAAACTTACCTGTTTGGTCCAAGGACTGGTTATTGTTTATCTCATCTTCAAATCTTTTGTGTGCCTCAAGAACCACTGCCAGATAAGAATATAGATTTGTTTGGATTATGAATTTGATTCTTTCACGCTCGTCTTCAGAGAATGGGGTTCCATAGAGAGACTTTGCCTGTAACAAAAAAAAAAGAAGTCATTAGTAGATGTGTAACATTCTAGTGGAAGGCATTACAAGAAGAATAGCTCACTTGTTTGTAAATAGTAGTGGCTCCACATGTGTCGTTACCAACCAGAAGAAGCTTGCTAAGCACTTTCTTATTAGATATGGGCTCAACATTTGGTTCAACTGCAGATGAAGCCGGAGGAATTGGTAGAGAGAACAGAGCACAAGCAATCCTAGCTCTTTTCTGAGAAAATCATGCATAATTGTATACGGTTTTATCAACAATCAAGAAATCGCTAAGCCGTAACTATGCAGATTATATTAATTCATACGTTGTGAACAAGAAACAGCCTTCTCACTAAATCATACCTTATTCCAAATGTTCCCCATGACACGGTTCTGACCTTCTTCTTGATAACTTCCATCTGCATTGACCCAAAAATGAGGCTTTCCTTCACACTGCACCCCCACCATCTACATCAAAGCAAAGAGGCATTCACTTTCACATGAAAAAAAAACAGAGAAGAAAGAACAATAACACTTAAGGTTGTCCAGTCAAAGAACCTTGAGCATCATGAGCTCAGTCTTGGTTATTTCCCGGTTATTAATGCAAATCTCAGTGTCACCATTGCTTGCTTCCTTCTTGATCTGACTACCTCCTATGTTCATATCAGGACTTATAATCTTGCAAGGTCTCTCTCCTACCTGTAATAAATACATAGACCTCTGCTTCAGCTAATGAATACTAAAAATATATATATATACACAATAGACTTTACCTTTCCCCAATATCCAGCAACCTTATCATACCAATAGTCTCCAGGTTTAAGCTTCTTAGGTGGATTTGGACAATTCTGCAACATGAAAAGCTCATCTTCACTCAAAGGCTTCCCATTAACAGCGATAAGCCGCGAAGGCATCTGATTCGCCCTGCAAGAGATCTCATCACTCATGACTTGTTTAAGCTCTGAATCAGTGAGAACACGCTTCAGCATTCTTGAACCCTTCCCAAGACTCCCTCTCTTGGACTCATCAATACTTAGACCAATACAAGTCACACACTTTCTTCCTTCAGGCATAGCACCCATGGCTCTCCTCACACAGCTGCAACAATACTTGGCGTGGCAAACAATACAGACTTCCTTCTCAGTGAACCTGTTCCCCATCAGACATCGGTAGCACGACCCTTTTTTACCTTTCCTCTCAGCTCTAGGCGTTGGAGCTGCTACACTCTCCCCATCGTAAAAGTAAGAGCTCTCATCATCTTCACTATCTTCACTTGGTACAAGGAATCTCACACGGTTTTCATTTCCTTCTTCTAATGATACCTCTCTTACTTCACCAGATGATGATGATGATGATGACGAGCCAGAAACCACATGATGCGGCTTTAAGACCACACTAGGACAAGCTACAGACTCAACCGAACCGTTCTTCTTATTCTTCTTCTTGGTGACCTTAACGAGTGGTTGGACCACAGGGTAAGACACAGCAGGAGACAAGGAAGAGAAGGAAACGGGAAGAGCTGTCGGAATCTGGTCGATTTCGACAGGATCAGCTCGTGGGAGATTAGCAATAAGAGGACCTTTATACTCGTTAGCGAATGAATAATCAATTTGAAAACTATTACTGTCGTCACTACTAATATTATCGTGATCATCTTTTTTAGGAATCGGTGATGCTAAAGGTAGTAACTTTCTTAAAACGGCAGTCATCTTCTTACCTGTTTTGTATAGATTCCCTAAAAAGAAACTATCTTTCCCCAGCAATCAGAAAAAAAAAATCATGAAACTATCATGAACCCAACTCCAGAAAGCTAGTTAAGGTTAGAGAAATGGACCAAAGTCGAAGAGATTGTTTTTCTTTTTTTTTGTTGGGGGATTAATGAGTTGTAGGAGTGAACAGAAAGAAGAGAGACAGAGAGATGATTTATCTGTCACTAGTAAAAGACGAATCATGGACTTAAAAGGGAAGACTTTCTCTTTTGTTTTTTCTCTTTTCTTTGTGTCCCAAAAGAAAGGGAAGGTTGAAAGTTATATTTTCCGGGAAAATTCTCGCCGTCAACGCGGGTTGTGAGTTAGTAAACGGTGCGTTTTGCGGAAGGCGTTGAGCGGGTCAAAGAGAGGGTGTAGCCTTCCCTAGCCATCACGTTTAATCTTGGATTAGTCTTCTTTCAGTTATAAATATGCCTAATTTTGGTTTGAATCCTAAATGCGGGAATAGATTGTTAGGAAAATTAGTTAAGTGTTTAGGTGGGATTATAAAGGGTTAAAGGTTCCGTCTATTGAAGTGTAATCTTAACCGAAAGTGAATATAAAGAACTCGTCGTCGAATGACGAAATTAGACAAAAATATTATTGATACTTTCTCTCTAAATTCTCCATTTGTTCTCTCCTCTTTTATATTGAATGCTCTTCTTATTTATACTCGTTCGAGACTCTCTTTCGTTTCACTGTAGGCATGTGTCAGAGAGTTGATCTGATGCTCATCATCACCTTGTTGTTTGTGCAGGTTTTCCGTCTTTAGTGGTGCGGTTGGTGCGGCCTACGTCCTAGATCTCTGTTCATTGTGTGCGCCGCTGGTACTCTTTCGGTTGACCGTGCTTCTCGTTAGGCCTATGATTTTACTACTCAAAGTCGCGAGTGGGTTGACGGCCCATCCTCCAACAATAGCTCCCCCTTGAGTCTGGCGCGTGAATACGTGCCTAGCGTCATTATTTAGTCTCTAAGCGAGTTGAGTAGGTGGGCACGTTTTCGACATGTGTTGGTCTTGTAGTGGTTTCTTCTCTTTGTGAGTTGTATCCGCTATAATGGGTCGCCGATCTTCGTCGCTTGGAGATCCTTCAATCACATCGATAGACATCGAAGCTTATCATTCTGTCGCACTGCTTCCCCCATTATTTCCTCCACCTTACTTATTGTTGCATCACTCCGATACTGCTGCCTTTTCTCCTCTTTAAAAAGGTATTCTTTCAACTTTCATCTTACTCTTCCATTGTTCTATTTGTAGGGTTTCTTCGTTTGCTACTTTTTTTTCGCGACTCTCTTGTCGATTTTTTTTAGGTTTTTCTCTTTTTGATGGATTATAGTTTTGAATCGTTAGTTAGGACTCCCGAGATGGTGGATGTCGAAGAGGTTCTTCGTTCGTCATCGACATCTGGTGCTGTTCTTCCGTCGGTGCCTCTCTTACTTCCCTCGGGAGCGGTTGTTGCCTTGGTCCTTGGTGCGGAAACGAATGTTGATGTTGACGCCGAGTTCTTTGAGATGATTTCGCAAATGAATATGATAACGAACAAAACTTTCTCCATTAGTATTAAGGCTCACTGCCGTCTTGTGGCCGGTCGGGGACCGTCTAACGCTGATAAGTGGCAGCAGAAGTATTTCTTTGCTCGTATAAATCCTGCTTCTGTGGCTGATCCTTCTGCGGGTTTTAGGGCCGACGGAACTCGCGACCTGGTAGATTGTTCGTCCTCTAATTCTGGTTGTTCTCGTCATTGGAATTACTGACCCCTGAGTTTGTTATTTTTCTTTTTAGCGGTTTACGCGAAGCATTGGCATCTCCCGTCGTGGGCAAGCGATCGTTTGGCCCAAATTTTCCGTCCTAGGGTGGTTTCTTAGGGAGATATTACGGCTGATCGTGTTCGTCGGAGTATCCCTCGCATCAACACTGGTTAGTTTGATTGTTATTGGTTCTTCTCGTCGTTCGTCTTTTTCCTTATTCTTATTTTATTTTCCAGCTTGCTACGGGGCTAGCTCTGAATCATCCTCGGTCGATGAGTCTTTGAAGAGGAAACGAGAAGTTCCGTCGGCCAAGAAGATGGGGAAGGTCAAAAAGAAAATTCATGAATGCTCTGTCGTTATCAGGGACTCGGTTTCTGGGGCCTCCTTTGTTACTCCGAAGGGTGATTTTTCTTCCTCCACTCTGATTGTCACTTTGTCCTCCGTTGCTTTGACTACTATCGTCGATCCTTCTGTTTCTGCCACTCTTCTTCTTCGCGGTGAATAGGGGGTGGTGATGAACAAGCACCGCCGGTTGTTTCTCCCAAACTTGATGTTCTGGTGGTTGCTTCTTTTCCCGGTGCCTCTTCTGCTGAACATGAGGTGGCAGCGGATGTTGATGAACGGGTGTCATTCGATGGTTCCAAGAAGAGGAAAATACTTACTTCCGACGACCCTGATCCTTCCTTGGCAACACCTGAAGAATGTGTGCGTCTTCTCTATGGTTTCCGACTACCGTCAAATTCCATGCCCTTCCTCGAGGATCTGATCTTTGCTCGGGAATTCACAGAATGGGCTTCGATCGAGGCTAAGTATGTTTCTTTTCGCTCTTCTTTTCTTTGTTGCATGTTTCTTATTGTGGGATTTTTACCATAGGCAAAGATGAGAGGGAATCATCTGTATCACATGTTTCTTATTGTGGGATTTTTCACCATAGGCAAAGATAAGAGGGAATCAGTTTGTATGATCGTAAGTGCAAGCGTCTTTTGGGAGAGCTTGAGTCAGAGCGTCGTCGCCTAACCGAGGAGAAGGAGAGATCAACTACCGTGTTTTCGTTTGTGAAGGTTATGGAAGATGCGTTGACGAACCTTGATTCTGATAACCAGGGTTTACAGGCTGAAGTGAAGCGACTTGAGGGAGAGATTGCTGAGCGTGGTATCTCAGAAGCCGGCTTTGAAGATCGATGTGGCGTGTTTGAAGGATTCTTGCAAGGAGTCGACAGAGTTGGAGAGGCATCGCGTCGAGTATGTTATGTCTGCTCGTTTCAATGATTTTGTGGAGAAAGTGAGGAAGTATCTGTCTGATCGGGATATTGTTTGCCTCCAGGTTTTAATTGAGAATCAGCTTTCGGGAGTCGTTAGCTGTCTCAAGCTGTTCACCGAGGAAGGTAAAGTTGGCCGAGAATGAGCGAGCCTTATCGGTTCAATCAACTATTTTGGACCAGATGGACGTGCACGAGTTGAGCTCGGATGATCTTCGATCCTTCTCTTTGGATGAAGGCTTGATGGCTGATTAGTCGCTATCTTTTTTTGTTGTTTTTGTTTTCTTTAATTTGAACTATTAATGGTCCTTTGGATTTTATCGTATGTAGAATATTTGGAATATTGAAAAAAAAGTTTCTTATCTGGGTTTTAGTTTTGTTTGTCCTTCCGTGTTTCCGTACGAGGGAGAAGTTGCTGCATTTGTTGTCGTACGGTGTCGCCGTTTTTGGTTTCTGGCTAGGAACTCCTTTGTTTCCTTCAAGTGACGTCTTATTTGGCCTTTGATCTGTATGTTTCGCGAGTCTGACTTCGGCTCTTCTTTTTTTTTGGATGGAGAGCGGGACTCGGTCAGGCTTACCCCTATAAGGTGGGATCAAGATAAGTTCATGAGCAACCTCGATGCGGCATATCCGATCGCCGACCCATGCGAGTATGGCCTCGGCTTCATTATCGGTCGGAGTTTTTATACCCTTTATCGAGAATGTTTCTTCTTTAGGCGGAGAGCGGGACTCGGCTTGGCTTACCCCCTGTAAGGTGGCCCGGGATAAGTGATGTTAGGAGTTTTCGAGGCTCCTAAAGCAAATGTTGTAGTATAGATGATTGTCGAACCAGTTCTGAGGGATTTAAAAGCACCGAGAATGCAAATACTAACTTAATCTAAGTGCAATTGAATGTTTGGTTGGTTTTGAAGTTAACTAAAACTAGAATGCAAATAACAAAAATGATACTTTTAAACTATTGGGAAGGAGAACTCATGGGTATTGGGATTTAGACCTTGGGTGATCAGGTTTCAAACTAAGATGGCAAGCTATCAATTAAACTGTCTGCCTTAGGCCTAGATACGATTCTAAACAAGCTCTATGTCTAG